TGTAGGCAAGTATTCTCAGTAACTTAACATGTCAGCAATTACTGCATTGGTCTGAAATGCAGAAAATGATGCGAAGACCCCCGCCCCCTTGTCAATAACAATCAGCATATTCATATTGTCAATAACAATCAGCATATTGTCCTCGTTGAGGGATACAATTTTTCGTTATTTTGCACTGATATAATCTAGCGGAACAAGGTTTCCGGGACCTCTCCACAGGTGATCCTAATCCATGGGGTTGCACTTTGTGTCACCGGGTGTTTTTCGCTCTGTGTGATGTCCTGGTGGGGTAAAATTTACTTACTAAGGCTCTCCTCCGAACTTCTACCCCCGCAGTATTGCGGACTGAAATATCCATTCGGGGCGCAGTCCAATTTAAAATACGGACTTGTCGGAATTCCCGCCGAGGAACAAATTGCGGCAAAACTAGGAGTACCTAACAATGTCACGAGACGCAACATTGCAACATTAAAAGCGACCGTTGACAATTTTGAAACATTACAAACGATGAAAGCGATATGGCGAGTAGACCACACCCTCCCACGCAGATTAGCAATACTGCAGCAGGAGATGTCAGACGTGTCGGCATGCGCAAAATGCGATTAAACTCATCGCCGAGTGTATCTCCCACGCCGCTACACGCGGCGCGGATGGGGGGCTAAACTGGGACTCACGAGCAAAGTAATTGGAGGAAGTTGCAGGAGATGTGATAGCTGCCGCTCGTGAGTCCCAGCCTAGTTTAGCCCCTATCAGCGCTGGGCGTAGCGGCGCAGGGGATACGCTCGGCGGTGAGGCATAGTCACAGAAACAGGTCTGCAAGTAACATATCGCTGAGACCCTGTTAGAGCATTTGTTTCATTTTTCTGAGCCGATCCTAGATTTGCCACGATTTGTTTGTCTGCAGAAAGTTCGACAATGGAAAGTGTCAACGGTCGCTATTATTATCGTCTGCTACTATCGTCTGCAGTGTTGCGTGCGTCTCTTAGAATTGTCAGGTAGTCAGAAACAATAAGAAACAGGTCCACAAGTAACATATCGCTGAGACCCTGTTAGAGCATTTGTTTCGTTATACGGAGCCGGCATATTTTTAATTGGATTGCGCCCCGAATGGATATTTCAGGCCGCAATACTGCGGGGTTAGAAGTTCGGAGGAGAGCCCTTACTAACTTACTAGCCCCCTTGTTGTTGCTGAGGGAGGGGATGGTGGGATTCTCAAAGATGTGACAGACTTCGTAAATGATATTTCCGTGTGGGTTTTGGGATCCCATTGTTGATGGAGGGGGAACAAGAACAGACCCACTGCCTTCCCAACAAGCATGTCGTATGAGATGACTAATTGGGTGGGGGGGGGGGGTTTCCTTCCACGTAGGAGTGCATCTGTCCGAGAGGCAAGGAACCAACAGTCTGCATACAGATAAGCTAGATCTGTAAATTGGATGAACACGCAACACTCCGGTTCAGAATCAAGTCCAGAGGTGGATGGACAAGCAGAACTTTCCACCGGAGTTTACAGTGGGTGAACTGAGTGCCAAGAAGACAAATTATATTTTTTTTAAATAATACATTACTTTTATTATAGTTGGGCACTTGAGATTTTTATCAAACTCTGACCATTTGATAGTTGGTCACCTAATTTTGAACTGGTCACACAGGCTTGTTTTTAAAAAAAAAATGCTTTCTATGGGAATAAAGTCATTATAGGATTGGAATTAAATATTGCAGCACTAGCAAAATTGTTTATAATGCAGCTGCAATTAAACAGGACAATTTTATATTATTTCTTTTTGACCTGAGTCTGCTTCATTCTTCTTCTTCTTCTTTCGTTCACCTGAAATAAGTTATCTATATCAGCAGTTTTGTCTCTTGTATAAATTTCACTGTCGTTGTTAGTTCATTCAGTGGTCCATAGAGTTTACGTTCCACTGTTGTTCTTTCTGGCCAAAAGGTTTGCCTTAATGTGTCAAAATCGGTGCAGTCTTGGAGTACATGCTCTGCGGTCTGGTGCACATTTCCACAGGTGCACATGGCTGATCCACCTATCTTGAATTTTGTGTACATGTGGTTACGTAATCGGTTGTGCCCTGTTCAGAGGCGGAAGATAATGATTTGTTCTGGTCTGTCCATAATAAAATAGTAGTCTTGTGCTGGGGCTGGTGGTTTCCTGATCGATTTAATGATTCTTTTCTTTTGGTGGTATGTGACTGGTACATCTGGCTGCTCTTTTGTCGCACCTTCCCCTGCCAGTTGATCAGCTTTCTCATTTCCAGGCACTCCACAATGAGACGGTATCCACTGCATTACGACTCTTCGCTGAACGCTGAGTTGTGTCAGCAGTGTTTGCAATTCTGGTAGTTTCCTAGACTGGAGTGCTTCAAGTACTGATTTAGCATCTGTAAGCATTACCACATACTGTGTGCCAAGGTTGGTATTTAGCAGTTTCTCTGTAGCTATCTTAATAGCCTGGGTTTCTGCATCGTAGTTATGGCAGTACTTCCCGGTTGGTACGCTGGACTTATCCCTAGTACCATCTGGGAATTCGATGTACACTCCAGCACCACCATTTCTAACTGCACTTTCTGCGGACCCATCTGTATAGACTCTGACCCATTGTTCTTGTGGGTATTCTTCATCAATATAACTGAGGGTGGCCATTTTGCATTGTACACTATCTTGCTCTTTCTTGTCAAATATCCCTTTCACATTTGTCTGGATTTGTACCGTTAGTTTACATTTTTCTCTCCATGGGGTTTGTTCCGGAATACTTTTAAGTGGGCAGCCAATTTCTGGAAGGTCAGGAGTTTGTCTACATATTCTTTTTGCTTGGTGTATAAAGCTGCTTCTTTTTAACCGTCACAAGGCTAGGTTCTTAAATCTATTTTCCATCGGGTGATCTGGCATACTGAGGAACTTTTCAGCTTGTATTTGCAACTTTGTATCTCTGCGTTCTCTCAGTGCCTGTGTTTTCCCAGCTTTCTCCATTTCTAATATGGGGGTTGATTTCATCCCTCCTGTGATGACTCTGAGCTCTTGATTTTGCACTTTGTCTAACTCCTTTAATGTGGTACTAGATGCTGAACACCATGCAGTTGACCCATATTCCAAGTGTGGAAGTATGCTCTGCTTGTATACTTTATTGAGTATTTTCCCATCTGCTCCCCATGTGGTTCCACTTAGTTTTCTTAGTATTGCTGTCTTCCTCCTGGCTTTGGTTGCTGCCTTGTTGATATGTTTTCTCCATGTCAACCTGTCATCAAATGTGACTCCTAGGTATGTGGGCTCTTTATCATCTCTCAGGGGTATTTCGTTTATTTTGATGGTGCCGGCTTTTTGTTTTGGGGAGAGGGTGAATAGTGTGGTGCTACATTTGTCTGTGTTGATGCTGACACACCATCTATTGGCCCATGCCTCAAGTGCATTTGTAGCCCGCTGTAGTGTTTTTGTGGCTATCGTTGCATGTTCATTGGTGCACCACAGTACCAGGTCGTCGGCATACATTGCCATTTTGATTCCATTTGGTATCTCAGCAACCAGATCGTTGATAAATAAAAGGAAAAGTGTGGGCGACAGGACACCACCTTGAGGGATGCCTTGTCGCAGTATAACTTTTTACTTTTAAAACCATCTACCTGTACCCGGGTTCTTCTGTTATGTAGATATGCTTTAATCCAATTGTACATTTTTCCATTTATTTTATAGTTTCTCAATTTCTTCAAAAACCCCTCCTTCCAAACCTTATCAAAAGCTTTCCTTAAATCTATCCATGCCGCGAGTACCAGTTTCTTATCTTTAAAAGCATCCTCTATTTCTTGGGAGAGGTATGTTGTCTGGTCTTCCGTAGAATAGAACTTTCTAAAGCCCGCCTGCTGTGGTGTAATGATGTTTTCACTTTCAATGTACCACTGTAGTCTGAGGTTGGTGATGCGCTCCATTGTTTTACAGAGACAACTTGTGAGGCTGATTGGTCTGTAGCTGGAGGCATTAGAACTGTCTTTCCCAGGCTTTATGAGGAGTATCATAATTGCCTCTCTCCAGATCTGTGGAACATTCCCTGTTGCCCAGCAAGCATTAAATATCTGTAAAAGCTTTGTTTTGGCTACTTTTCCTAAGTTTCTGATCATTTCGTTTGATATACCATCTGCTCCTGGTGACTTCCGCATTTTCAGCTTTGAAATGGCCAACTCCAGTTCATTAAGTGTAATTGGCACCTCTAGCGCCTCTGATGTTATTTCTTTCTGACTTCTAAATTGTGTCTTTTCTTGAATTTCGTGTTTTTAACAAATGCGTACTAAAGGCAGCAGGAGAATCAATACCAAGAGGTGCCCGTATGCATTATCAGCCATACTGGAGTAAATGAGCTAGAAAATTTACATAACGAAGTAGAAACATCCAGAAAGATAGCAGAGACCAGGCCAAACCAAGAACATCACAATAACTACCAGCATGCAAAAGCAAAATTTGTAAGGGCAAAGCTGCAGGTTAGAAGGGAAAGCTGGCAGGAGAAAACAAGGTCGCTGAACTTTAAAAAAGACACAAGAAAGACACGCGAGGTGTGTGCGTGCACACACACACACACACACACACATGCACACACACAAACATACATATATATATATATTGGAACAGTTAGGAAGATTTCATTTGTGAAATTCACTGCAACCTTTCGCTGGCTTGAGAACCAGCTCATTGTGATTGTAATAGACTGATAAAGCAATGAAAGGTATACTCCATGCAGAAAGGCAAGCACTGCTTCAGAGATCACGGGTAATTAGCATCATTTGGCACTAATAGATCACCACAGTCTGAGGAGAATGGTGCATCTACAGGTTCCATTGGAAAGTAGAAGTCAGCCCCTGTCTTTTAAAATCGGAATGGAACGCTTATGTGAATACCCCAAGTGCTGTGTTGTTGGTTCTTAGCTCAACTGAACACATTGCTGATCAATTTCTGTATTATATTTATTTGTTAATTTACAGAAAAGGATTACAACAGAGACATAGACCATGACTATGGCAAGTGATCTTTCAAATTCATTTATGAGAACAGTGTCCTTTGTGGAGCGGATTGAAGTGGAGTTTCATGGCAATGTTATCTCACAGGCCATGGTTCTGGCTGATGTGGATAATGATATGGTAATTATAGTCTCCTTGTAGTTGTTGTCAATGATGTCTTTATCATGTTTCTATGGTCTATTTGTATCTGTTTCTTTTAGTATCATCTCATTTGTTTTTCAGCACATGTATAATATTCTCTGTTTCTTCCTCAAAAACCACATTTCCTATACCATTGTATGTTTCTAAGTTTGCTTATTGTACGTGTTTCATGCATACAGGAGTATTCATTCTGTATACTGCTTTTTTCCTAACTGAAAGTGGCTACTCTTTTTTTTAAATGATTATGGTGTCTATATTTCAGTAGGCCACTGTTGCATTATAACGTTTTTGGTTTGATCCTCATTATTTAAAAAAGATACAAAAATAAAAAAAAAAAAAAAAAAAAATATAAAAAAAAAACTATTATTAACGTTTTTGGTTGATCCTCTGGATATAATTTAATTAATTAGAGACTTAGACAGTTACGAAGAAGATAACATTGGGCGATCACATATGTGTGCTGCCTGAGAATATGATGAGTCTGCATGTGGCTGATGGATAATGTGGCAAATTAGAGAGGTATGTTTCATTCTGTGTATGCTGAGAAACGAACGAACGAACAAACTTTATTTTCAAAGGGTTACAAATTAGGCACGCAGGCCTGTCTTACATTCGGCCCTTCCAAACTTCCATCTTTCGCACAGCAGTTGTATTTCATCAATAAAGCATGTTATATTTATGTTATAATATGCATATTACATATATAAAGTCAAAAACAAAAGCATGGGTGGTAAAATATGTGCGCACGCTCACGCGCGAACACACACACCCACATACACACACAAGCCAAATCACTCACTTACACACAATCACATAGGCACCCAGTACACACATGCATCTACATACATACGAACATGCACACATACATACATACATACATACATACATACATACATACATACATACATACATACATACATACATACATACATACATACATACATACATACATACATACATACATACATACATACATACATACATACATACATACATACATACATACATACATACATACATACATACATACATACATACATACATACATACATACATACATACATACATACATACATACATACATACATACATACATACATACATACATACATACATACATACATACATACATACATACATACATACATACATACATACATACATACATACATACATACATACATACATACACACACACACACACGCATACACACATACACATACATACACATACATACACATACATACACACATTGACATACGCAACACCCACACATACACAGGTATGCACACACAGACACGCACAGTCACACATACGCACACAGACATACATGCAGACGCATAACCCGACACAAGCAGAGACACGCAGAGACACGCAGAAACCATTGACCCAGCTGCTTTGAGATACCAGCTAAGTGATTTTGTGTATTTGTGTAGTATTGTTTGATTTGTATGTGCTGATGAGGGCTCCATAGCCGCAACATTCACGTTTTGTTTGTATTTGTTATATTGTGAAGCTTGCTAATATACTTTTCATTCGGTTTTATATCTTTTCTTGATATTTTTTGTATGCAACAGTTTCTGGTTTCATGTGTGTGACATTGCTTTTCCCCCTCCTCTCTTACAAAATAACAGGCTAATGAATTGGTTGTTGGGAACATTGATGGCCAGGTGGCTATATTCAAAGGCATGTCACCTCAGCCGTGGAGAAAGATGGCAGTTAGTGGAATGGTGAGTGGCATAACACATCATTAAACAGTATTGAGTTTGTTTGATTGATTGATTTTTAAGAAACCACATCACATCTTCACCTTTGACGGTCCTAAGCCAGGATGAGAAAGGAGGAGGGTTGGGTGAGGGACATTCCCCGACCCTGTGAACAATTATTTACAGCTGCAACTTGAAGGAAAGTGCGCCATTCTGAGAGACGCCAAAGATGCTGGACTGGATTCTGTCCCTGATATCGAAGTGATTACACAGGATAGAATGGAGCGGAGAATAGGCTGTGAGCCCTATGTGATGTATAAGGGTACAACAGAACAGCAAGTCATTAGGTAAAGGTAAAGTTTGGAGATGTGAACCAGCGTCATTGCACATGGTTATAAACCATAAGTGCTCTGCCACCAGTACGGACAGCTGATAAGAAACTGTCCTCCTATGTCGCCGTCCACACGAAACTCCGTAGCTACAGTGACGTTCCTCCATTTACCCCAGAGTTTAACTCTGGTATCCATTTCCTAGAGGCTGGATGAACCCTTGTGTCTTCAGCAAGTATTCATTTATAGATTGATCTCATAATGTTGGCAAGAATATGTATATAGTTTATATTATGACATATATTTTTATTTACTTCATTATTTCATTGTTGTAGTGTATTGTTAAAATATTCTGAACCTAGTTATGGCAGATAGTTTCTTCATATCTTTAATACTCTGTTTTGATCTAGAGGAAACATTTTTTTTTTAAGAGTCTGGTTCTTCTTTGTCTGAAGGCTACTTTAATAGTTCTGTATAATTGGTGCTGTGGGGCATTGATAATCATTTTTGTTCATAGCCTTCTGTCTCATGTACTTCAGTCATTTTAGATTCCCCATGTTGGTTATGGGGCCTCATTTTTGGGCAAAACCAGAACAGACCCACTACCTCCCTAACAAGCATGTTATGAAAGTCGACTAATTAGGGTGTTTCCTTCAAAGTCGGAATGCATCTGCCTGAGAGGTGAGGAACCAGCAGTCTGCATACAGATAAGCCTGTTGGGTAAAGCTGATGTGCATGCAGAACTCTTCTGCAGATCAAAGTCCAGAAATGTCAAACAACCACAACATTCTACTGGAGTTTACAGTCAGTAAAAGCTAAGAGGAAAGAAAAGAAAGATCCTTTCTGACACTCATGATCTTCCATTCAACAATTTCAGACTGTTCAGTTTCTTCTCTCTCTCTTTATCGCCATGCTTCTCTTCCCTTCCAGCTTCTCCCTGTCTCACAGTGTACTTCAGTTTTCACCAAATAATATAGACTGTCTCCTTTTAGTGTGATAATCAGTTCTCTTTGTGAGTTAATTTCTTTCACAACTTTTAAAAATTACTTAAAAAAAAAAAATCTGTCAGTGGTGTTTTCATCTTTCAGCTACAAAACCACATCTCTACAGCTTCCACATAATTAAAAACATTTTTTTTTAAATCTTAATTTATTAAGCAGTAGACTGATCATGATTCACTTCCATATATTAGGGTTGGCACAATATTGCAAGCCCCCTGCCCCTTTTCCAGCTTAGTTGACAAAGATAAATTGAATTGCATATTCTTCATTTTGTGAAATACTTTCTTTGCCTGAGTTTTTTAATGTCAACTCAGTTTTTAGAGTGGAACGGCATCATTGTGTTGTATTCTTTTAGAGTTCTTGTAATTTTTGTTGTTGTAACTTTTACTTTCCTAATGTTAAAGATTTTGCCTATCTCTTGTCTATACTGTCCACTTTTGGTACTGCTAGCACAGTTTTTTTTTCTTCCCTTCGTCGGCTGTAAACTCTGGCAGAAGGTCCAGGTTGTTGATCCATTTCTGGACTTTGATCTTGTTCCAGAAGTTGAGTTTTGCGTGCACATCCATTTTACAGATCAAGTTAACTTATATGCAAACTATTGGTTGCTCACCTCTCTGGGCAGATACACTCTGACTTTTTGCCTACTTTATCATTTGCAACTTTATTATGAACCATTTAGTAGCATGAAATTTAATGAGAAAGCAGACATGCTTTTTTGAAGTAGAGGAAAGCCTACAGTAAATGTATGTGGAATTGTATGTTTCATTAAAATTATATAAGACAGAGTAATGATATGTAAAAAGAATTAACACCATTTTTAATGCTCGTTTATCATTTTATATTGTTTCAAATGCAAATATTTGATGGCTGTATTTTCTTTCTCTTGCCCTATAAATTATGCTGTTTGACTAAATGCATGTATGACCTATATCTTTAGCTGACATGCCTTGCTGTAGGAGAGATCCATTTACCTAAAAAGGTAAGTTGCGAATGAAAACTGTCTGTCTGTCTGTTAGACCTCCCCCCCCACACATGCACACACACACACACACACACACACACACACACACGAGCGCACACACACACACTTACTTTTACTCTCCCAACCCCCTCCACACATCTTTACACATGTGAAGTTTTTTTAGTTTTTTTTTTTTTTTTTAAGAAACAATGAAAAATTATGTATGTATGGTTAACTAAGGAGATTCAAACAGACATATAAAAGTGTGACACACACACGTCCAACATTTCAGTCGTAATAACTAAATAGCATTGAGGGTAGCACGGTAAAAACTACATTAACACGAAATTGCTTAAGAAGAACACTCGTATAACATGAAAATTTTTTGTCCAAGCAGAGATGTATTATTGATATTAGTCCCTGATAAGAGGAGCTGATGGCCGAACGATTAGAACGCTGGGCTTTCAGGCAGGAGACCCGGGTTTGAATCCTCGGTAAGGCTGGGGATTTTTTGTGTGTGTCAGAGGCAGAATAAAATCTTAACATGCACAGTTGTGGTAACAGCACTAGCCATGCGGCCGTACATCCTCACGTACATCCTCACGTACATCCTCACGTACATCCTCACGTACATCCTCACGTACATCCTAACGTTCAAAGACCCCCCTGCCTACACTGCAAAAGTGGTATAATAAAGGTAGTATTTGGCAGTCCCTGATAAGCACACTTTATATCTTTAAACCCGATTTTCAGTCCCTTAGAATTCCTGTTAATGAGGTTTCTTCTTCTTCTTTTTCACCTTCATTGGCTGTAAATTCTGGCGTAATGTTCTGGTTGTTCGTCCAGCTCTGGACATTAGTCTTGTTCCAGAACCTGAGTGTCGCATGCACATTCATTTTACAGATCTGACTTACTTGTATGCAGATTGTTGGTTCTTTTCCTCTCAGGCAGATGCACTCTGATTTCGAAGGAAGCTCCCATTAGTCGACTCTTATGACATTGCTTATTGCGGAAGCAGTGGATTTATTCTTGTTTTCCCCACAATGTGGTCCCGGAAACCATGTGGGGAGTTAATGACATTTAACTGTAATGATATTAAAAAATAGTGTGACATATGAAGAAAATTGATCTTGTCAAGGACATCTTTGATTGCACCATACTGATATTTATTAATGTATCTTGATCTAGAATAGCCTTGTATGCATGACCGCTGAGGGCTGGTGCTATGTCTATGATGTTCCATCGCACATATCTACACAGGTGAGTCACTGGATTTTCATGTCATAAAGTAAGCTTAATCCTTTGGCTGAGGTTGTCATGAAGTTGTGTGAAATGATTCTTAAATTCTTCTTCCTCTCACCAGCTGTAGGGGGCTGCGTGGTCTCAAGGAATGGTGTCCGCCTCGAGTGCTAGAGGTTCCAGGTTCAATCCCTGGTAAGGGCTGAAATTTTTTCACGTGGACTTGGACTTCTAGTAATTCCCTTTGGTCTCTGGGTAGTAAGATCGGACACCCGTGTGTATTGCTGCGCACGGACAAAAATCCCTGTGGCAGTTGGTAATTGAAAAGACTAGCCTAACATCGCTGCCCGGGCAACATTTTGGAGTTTAAAATCTACTCAAAGTATTTCAGGATCCTCGCCGGTGTTACAGAGCCTGTGCACTGTGTTGTACTTCTTTTGATGCAGACTTGAGTTAGAAGAACTGAGCACTTATGGGTTACTACCCGTGTGCCATGATGTTGATCCGTTGTTTAAAACCTGAAACCTCAAACTTCACCAGTTGTAAACTCTGATGGAACATCCTGGTTTTTCACCCAGCTTCTTCACCGTCAATGTAGACTGTAGGTCTGTCATTAACACCTTGCACCTTAACCTTGCATCTTTTTGCTGACTGTTAGTCCAAATTCACAGCAAAGGTGGATAATAAACATTGCAGCTCCTCCTCTGAGTGGGTGGTTATTGCGGCATCATCTGCAAACAGCAGCTCTCTGATAAGTACCTTTCTTATCCTGGTTTTGGCTTTCAGCCTGCGATCATTGTAAAGGCTGCTGTCAGATCGAGAATGAATGAATACACCACCCTCCTGATCTTGAAAGGCATGTGTCAAAAGAAGTGAAAAGTATATACCAAAGAGGGTAGTAGCAAGTACACACCCCTGCTTCACTCCATTTTTGATTACAAACTCCTCCGATGTTACACCATCAAAGTTGATTGTACCTTTCATCTGCAAGTGATGTGGCATAAAATACATTGATGAAACGGGTCTAGGACTGGCTGACAGGTTTAGACAACATCTTTTAGATGTGCGGAATGGTGCCCTGAAACCAGTACCGTTGCACTTCAGTTCCCAGGATCACCAATGTGTCCATGACATGGAGGTCTTCTTCTTCTTCTGCCTTTCTATCCCCCAATGGAGCATAGGCCCTCAACCAACTCACGCCAAGTCGTTCTATCCTTCGCCATTGCATGGAGCTCTCCCCATGTCCTCCCAATCTTTCTAACCTCGTTCTCTAGCTCTCTTCTCCATGTGTTTTTTGGCCTTTCTTTATTCCTATGCCCCTGTGGGTTCCAATGCAAAGACATTCTAGTAATGCTGTTCTCCTGTTTTCTCAGTGTGTGCCCTATCCAACGCCAGCGTCTTTTCCTCACTTCCTGATCCACTGGAGCCTGTTTAGTTCTCTTCCAAAGTTCTACATTAGTTATTCTATCATACCATTTTATTCCCTCTATTCTGCGCAGGCACTAGTTAATGAATGTCTATAATTTATTAGTAATTGCCTTGGTTGTTCTCCATGTTGCCGCCCCATACAATAGTACTGATTTGACATTAGAATAAAAAATTTTTAGTTTAGTATTTCTTTTAATTTCTTTTGACCTCCACAAATTCCCTAGTGCTATGAAAGCCCCTCTTGCCTTTTGTATTCTTATTTTAACATCTCTATCAGTTCCTCCATCTTTATCTACATTACTGCCTAAATAGGTGTACGACTCCACGTCTTGGAGTGGGGTGCTATTAAGAGAAACCACATTACTATTTGCCTGATTTATTCTCATTATCTTGTCTTTCCTTTATGGATTTTCAGACCAAGCTGCTGTGATCTCGCATTAAGTATATTTAATTTATCTTGCATCTGATTCCGTGAATGGGACAGAAGAGCAATATCATCAGCGAAGTCCAGATCATCAAGCTGTTTTGTAGGGGTCCACTGAATTCCATTCTTGGTGTTAGCAGTTACTGTTTTCATAGTCCAGTCTATAGCCAGTAAAAATAAGAGAGGCGACAAAAGACATCCCTGTCGCACACCTGTTTTTATTTAAAATGCATCTGTTAGCTTTCCCTCATGAAGAACTCGACATTTCATGTCTTTATATGTTGCCTTTACTAAGTTGATAATTTTCTGTGGGATTCCATAGTACCCCATCAATTTCCAGAGAGATTCCCTATCTATGCTGTCAAATGCTTTTTCATAGTCTATAAATCCAATGTAAAGTGGTGAGTTCAGTTCAATGCTTTGCTCTATTATAATACGTAATGTGGCTATCTGATCAGTACAGGATCTGTTTGACCGAAAACCTGCCTGCTCATCTCTTAGCATTTTATCAATAGCATCTTTTAATCTTTCCAAAATAATTCTACTTAATATTTTTCCAGGAACTGACAGCAACATAATTCCTCTATAGTTTTCACACTCCTGTAGATCACCTTTTTTGGGCAGTTTCACAAGATATCCTTCTCTCTAGTCTGCTGGTATTTCTTCGGTCTCCCAGACTTTACTGAATAATCTATGTAGCATTTCTGTTGATGTGTTTATGTTGGCTCTGATGGCTTCAGCTGGGATACCGTCTGGGCTTGTCGCCTTTCCTTCCTTGAGAAGATTGATAGCTTTCCTAATTTCCTCTTTGGATGGTATCTCACAGTTGATATCCAGTTCCATTTCTAAAGGCTGGATATCTGGGGGAACCTCTGGGCTTGGTCTATTTAGAAGCATTTCAAAATATTCAACCCATCTGTCCATTTGAACTTTAGTGTTAGTAAGTACCTTTCCTTGACTATTTTTGATTGATCCAGTTGGCTGACTATATTTACTACTAATTTTCTTGTGTTACTGTAAAGTTATCTGAGATTTCCTTTTGCTGCTGCTGTCGCTGCTTCTTGTGCTAGATCATTTAGATATTTCACTTTATCTGCCCTTATACGCCTCCTAACTTCCTTAATGGCTTCTGTGTATTTCTCCTGAGCTCTAGCTTTAGCAGCTCTAGTTTTGCTATTGTTCAAGTCTGCCTTTTTACTTTTCCTATCTTCAATCAGTTTAATGGTTTCTGGTGTTATCCATGCTTTATGTTTTCTTTCTTTCTTGCCAAGAACTTCTACGCAAGATTCATTCCAGATTCCTTTGATCTGATCCCAGCAGACTTCTATGTTGACATCTTCAGCTAACTGCTGCAACACCTGGTACTTATTAGAGACCGTAACCGAGAACTGTTCCTTAATTTCTTTATCTCTGAGAAAGCCTACATTATATTCGTTTCTATGATTATAAGATGTTATATATCTTTTTAGTTTCAACTTGATTTTACTTACCACCAGGAAATGGTCAGTAAATACATCGGCACCTCTGAAAGCCCTAACATCGTAAAGGGATGATCTAAACTTTTTGTTAATACATATGTGGTCAATTTGATTAGTTGTCTTATGGTCTGGTGATTCCCATGTTGCCTTGTGTATACTTTTATGGGAAAAAATACTTCCACCAATAACATACTGGTTACCTGCACAAAAATTTGTGAACAATTCTCCATTTGTGACATGGAGGTGATGGCCAATAAATCTAGCCGCTTCAGCGACAGAGTGTGCAAGAGTGCTGTGGTTTTGTTTGATTCATGTATATGCTGATGAAGGCTTTATAGCCGCAGCATTTACGTTTTGTAAGTGTTTGTTATATTTTGAAGTTTGCTGATATACTTTTTCCTTTGGTTTTATATCTCTCAGGATCTTAACATGCCAGAACTTTAACATCCCAAATGTTAACAATTGTTATTGCAGAGTATGTGTACTGCTGAAGAGGACTCAGAGAGTGGCCATGTCAAACCTTTTTTCACTCAAGAGTTACCAGCTAATGCAAGAGTTATGTGCCTTGCTGATATTGGTATGAAAAATGGATCTCCTTTTCTTTTTTTCTTATTTTGTCAATTTATATGTTGTGCTGTGAGACATCACAGTTTAACAGTTGAGTTAGGGTGTGAACGGTTGCTTGGTATACTGTGATGTCAGTCATTCCTTCAATCTGTCTTCTTCTTAGACTCCTTTTGCCTCTTGGAGTTTCCAGTTTCTTGCTGTACACTCTCACTGCTGGCATCATTGTTTTCACTCTTTCTAGATGGCCGAACCATTTCTCCTTTTCCACAAACAGTTTTTTACTTTTAGTATCTTGGTTCCCTATGTGGATTCTGGGACCCAGTTTTGGTAGGGGAGGGGAGACTGATATGAGAGTTGCACAGGTAAGCCTGATCTGTAAAATGGAAGTTCTGCAAGAAGACCGAAGTCCAAAAGCGGGCGAACAACCAGAACTTTCTACAGAGTTCCGAGTTTAAATCCAGTGAACTATAATAATAAGAAATATTTTGTATTAAAGTTGTTAACTTCTTCTTGAAGTCCATGCCGTGTGGCGTTGGTAGTCATTTCTGTCCACAACCTTCTGTCTCATATACTTTTAGTCAACTCTGATAAAGATGATCCTCATGAGTGTGATGACCCTGCTTTGCATGGTCTCCACGAGTACATTGTGGCAAGCAGGAAGTCCGTGCTACAAGTGGCCGGTGGAGTAAGCGAGGGGAAGCCCGAGCTAGCCTCGTGGTCAGTCGATCATCAGAAGTCAGGGAAGAAGGTTGTAGTAATTGAAGATGTAGTTTTTATGTCGCGAGAATGGTAAATGTTCGAATATGTCGCGAGTGATAAAGTGTGAATAATGTTTGAATATGTGAAATAAATGGACCAGAATAAACTGACAGAATGTACAAAGGAGCCGAGTGGCGTTTGTGTTGTCAACCCTAGACGTTGAAGCCGGTGCAAACCAAGGTTCATTCCAAGTGAAGCATCGACTCATACCAAGTTGAATCAGAATCATTACAGATGTCATGATGTCAGACTGTCCAGCGTCTTTTCTCTCGTTCTCAATCTGTCTCTCCGCCCCTCCAACTTTTCTACTCTCATGATGTACTCCAGTTTTGGCCTTCTCATCACATGACCAGAGAGTGTAGACTGTCTCTTTTTGATGTGGGCAATCCATTTTTTTCTTTTCATGAATTGTTACTTAAACTGGTTATATTCTAAGATACTGTACTTGAAAGTAGTCAGTGTTTAGTTCGGAAGGAGTTACACAAAATACAGTTTGAGACAGGAGAGTGTAAACTTACAGATCTGATGCAGTGTGTTAAGGTAGCATTTTTCTGTTAAAGAAGAATACAAGAACAGTATGTTGTCTTTGAGGTGGTCAAGAAATGCAAACTTAGTTGCCTGGTACCCAAAGAGTTAAACCTAGTTTTGATATTATGTTTTCTTATCACAGTCAACATCACTGCACATAGTGCATTCCCATGCATGCTCATTTTGATTGATAGCTCCTGGTTACTTTAAAATACTCTAGGTTTTAACGCTGCTGCAGATATCACCTGGCTCTGTTAATTTCTCTAATTGGTCTTCTGTTTGCATTTGTTAATACAAAATGTTTGTAGGTCTGCCTGTATATGACCTCTACACTGTCTTCTTGGTATTCCTCATGGCCTATTCCCATTCAGCCCCTGTGTATGCACTTTAGCTGTTAGTGATAAACATTTGAAACCCAAGAAACCTCCCACCTATTGGTTACCATGGGCTTGTTAAATATTGAATGTTGAATTAAGAATGGACCTCATAGCCCTTGGGACACCCATAAGCGCTCCCTGCCCATCTTCAGCAGCAAGCGAAGAGTTCCAATTCCGATAGTAGCAGTGGCTGTCTGATTGTACATCCATCTTGCTTTTCCCTTAAGTGTATTACCGTGGGCCCTCACAGGAAGCAAAGAATAAAACACTACACCCAACCAGGCATGTTGTTTGAAAGGACTAAGGATAGGGTTGGGTTTGCCATCGCGTAAAAAACAGTAGCTGACATGCATAAAAAACAGTAGTCACACAATCCAACCAACCATGGAAAAGTCAGTAAGGGAAACAATTGAGCTACAAGCAATAGCAGGGGATAGGGCAAGTTGGCCTGAGTTGGTTGAGGGCCTATGCTCACTGGGGGATAAGGGGCAGAAGAGGAAGTAGAAGAGTTGAGTTGATTCACGACATTAAAGCACTCGAGGCATTCCCATAAGTGCTCAGTCACCATCTTCAGCAGCCAGCGCAGAGTGCCGATTCCAGTGGTACCTGCAGCATTGTGATTTATACGTCAGTCTTGCCTTTTCTGTGAGCCTCAAGTATTGTTGCTCCTCACTGCATCACTCTCACCAGACTGTGGTGATCCATTTGTTTCTCCGAATTGTGTACATTTTCCCACACCGCCCTAACTACATCTGCCTTATTATGCATCAGTATTCCACCAAGTTGTGCAGAGCCAGCCAGTCTGTACAACTATTCATTTCCTAAGAACCCGGTGTGCCACAGAGAAAAGATCAAGACAATGCTCCTCACCCGTGACATCCAAAGCAAAGCATGTCACTCTGCACGAAGCATGCCTGTCCTCACCTTCCTCAGCATGCTTTCTGAAGCAAGTGAAAGAATAAACATCCAGTAAAGCCCAGTTACTGCTCTCATGGCGTTCAAGCACTGATACGAGAGTCACACAATGAAAGAGATTGTGGCCTTACTACATAATATTTATTCCCAGCAGTGGATGCAAGTATCTACTCAAGCCACACTCCGTTGTGTAGGCTGTTCAAACAAATTCAAAAAACATCATGTGTCTTATATTTGTAACTACAAATGTTGGAATTTTGCAAATTCTGAGATAGAATCCACTTTTTTGTATGCTACCTTTTATTCAGACACAGAAGGGGTAGTCAGTTACCTAATAAAATAGAATATACTGTTCATGATGATAAAACCCGCTAACCATTCAGTAAAACATAGTAGACTGCTCTCTTGATATTTAGATGGTAGTATGAGAGTTGAATCATAGAAGCATATGATTGTCCCAAATACAGCAGTCGATACACATATCCACAGCAGTCAGCTTCAATAGCACAAACAAATAAAACATCTTTTTGTTTCTTTAATATCCAATTACAAAAGTTTGAACATCATTTATCCTTTATGTAAACCACTTGTTTTGCTCACTGCCATTTATTCAGACTCAGATGGCCGTGTAGAAATGGTGATAGGATATTCAGACAGAGTTGTTCGAGCTTTTCGGTGGCATGAGTTGCCAGATTCTGACAATGGACACTTCTTGCTTATACAAAGATGGCAGTTAGCAGGGCAGGTAAATGTAACCATTTTCTTCTTCTTCTCCTCCTTTTTCCACGCCTCCTTCTCTACTACTTCTTTTTTTTTTAGTTCACCAGATGTAAACTCCCATGAAACATCCCGGTGTTCATCCACTTCTTAACTTTGGTCTTCTTTCAGGACTTGAGTTTTGCATGCACATCTGTTTTGCGGTTCTGACTTATTTAGAAATTAATTCAATCAGTTGTGACTAAAAAGCCTAACAAACTGGGGAAGCAGAACAGTATGCACAAAACCCAATAATCAACATTTCGGTCAGGGCCTTTCTCGACATGGACTAACTACACAACAGTAGCGAAAGGGAGAGTACTCCAACCACAACTGTGCCAACTGGTTGGGGAGGGGGGGGGGGTTATGTGAGAAACTATAAAAATATGATGTGAAATTAATAAAATAAAATAAAATAATGGAAGGCCCAAAAATAGTCATAAAAGTAATAGTTATAATATATAATAAAAGGAATAAAAGAGTAGCAGAAATACAAATGTTAATGATTCATAACTGGTACTGATAAGAGATAGAATAAAATAATAAACTGACATTTAAAAAAGTAATTATCATAAATAATAATAATAATGAAATTAAATTAAAAATAATTTGACAATAAATGAAGGTATGCTGGATATTAATACCTTCTGGGCTTAGAACAGGTATGGTAAGGTAAAGGTGAGAGAGGTGAGGCGATCGACTTCATTGCACCGGTTTTGATCCCATATGGCTCAGTCTCTTTCTGCAGAACAGCTAGCCTCTGTAGCTCTGGCAATGATTCCCAGGTATCTCCGTAAAAATGTTACTCGTGGTCTGAACTGTGCTGCCGTAAAACGAACCCACGACCTTCACAGTGAAAGGCAGATGGCTTGGCCACTTTGCCACTGAGACCCCCTTAGAACAGGCAATAATGTCTAGCATACCTTCCTCAGATGTCCGATCGCAGATTGTCCTGATTGATTGACAGAAAGGTTTAGATGTCTGCCACCATTGGCCCCACTCGTCGGGGCTAAAAAGGAAAACCATGCATGATGCATGATACAGTTCATTGGAGATGCATGAAGCATGCTTTCCTATACAGTTCATGGGAGTAGTTTTTTCCTGGTTTTTTTTTTTTTTTTTTAAGGAAAAAATGAGATATTGGTGGACAGCCTTCTGGGGTTTTCAGATTTAAGAAGACTACTAGATAATGTGGATGTGTCACAAGTCAAGGCAGACGTGGGATGAAAGAAAATTTAGGACAAAAAATTCCAGAACTCAAGAAGTATTTAGCAAGGAAGAAATATGCTAGTGTTAGTAGTAATCTTGATATTGCCTAGATCATGAAAAGGGTTCATTACTTTTTCTTTTCTAGATTGGAAGCATAACAGTGAATTTCAACCAAGACCACCAGCTTGAACTCATGGTGTCCCAGCCTGGAGCAACATTTGTTTCCTTGCAAGTGCGGCAAACATTCCGACACATCAAGTCTGACAGTTACCTGGACAGGATGTCTGAAAACAAAACCGATCATCCTCTTGAGAGAAGCGGCAGCTTCATCACACCAGGAAAACATGATGGTTCAACAGCTTCTTATATGCATAACTTGCCTGGGCATGTTAATATATCCAAATCTGAAATTTTCTCAAACAAATCAGACACACTATCATACAACTCCGACGCCTCCAACAGATCGGCAGAAAATATTTCAGTCAAGTCCATGGACACTACATTAAACAAAAGTGGTAACAAACAACAAAAACATGATGGTCAGTCTATCAGAAATGAAGTGGTCAATAGGAGTGGAAAGGCAGACACTTCACCTGAGAAAAATGAAGTAACGCTGGCAAGGCCTGGCAGAAAATTAAGCCTAGATCGGCTGGAGAATGTTTCTCTGGTGAAACTCATGGACAGTCCTAAAGATTACCCTGAAAACGTGTTGGAGAAGTCTATAGGCAAGCTCAGCTCGATTCCTGATTCTCCTTTTGAGTAAGTCCAATGTTAATTTTATTTTATATTCAGATAAAATTAGATTACACCAACATTAAATGGGTCTCAGCTGACTGTGGTTGTGGCGCACCAAAGCAAACTGCAGAATATGTCTTACAAGACTGCTCAAATCTTGCTAGAACAGAAACTTAGCTCACAGGAGTGACCCTGCAAGACCAACTATTAAGTACTTGTGAAGACCTGCCTAATCTGTGACCTATGCTGAAATAGATTCATAGCAGATGTTGATCGCTGAAGAAGAAGAATATGTATATCAAGCTGTCTGTTTGAGATACCTTATGATATAACTAGAAAGTTATTGCACTGAAACCTACAGTTACAAAGAAATGTGAGATTTAACACAAAATCAGCATGAAGAGAAAAGACCATGAAGTGAGATGTATGTGATGGCAAATATAAGATGATTCTGCACAATTTGGTTGAAGGGCTCTGCTGCACTGGGGTAGAGGATAAAGGGCAAAAAGAAACTGCTCCATCTGAGTCATATTTTTCTTTAAAAAATTATCCTGGTAATTTTTCTTGTCCCTTTTATCTTTTATTAGGGCATAAGCTCTTAGCCAGTTCATGTAAGTTCTGCTTAGACTTGTTCAAAGTTAGTTTTTATGACTAATATTTTTGGGGTGATGAAGTAGCTGACACCAAGACCACCCTACCCTTTGTCACTTATTAACACATTTGCCCCATGAATGCTAAAAATAAATGGGTCATAAATACGTGTGAATTTCCTTTCAAAAATCCTTTACAAACAAAAATATTTTATGCAGGTAACTAACAATTTGTTTTACAATTTATTTATCTACATTAAAAAAATTTTGTTTTAAAATATATGAAGATTATCAAGGGAGTAATCAGTAAAAAAGAACAGAGTGAAGCATTAAATGGGATGAATTTCAGTGGGCCTAAAACAAATATATATCTGGTGACTCATGCCATAACCTCTATTATGGAGGCTTACGGGAAAATTTTAAGTCAGCATTGGTTAAAGTATAGCTCTGAATCCTGACAATTAATAAACAAGTCGAACAATATCTTTAGGTCCTCGGAAATGTGTAGATTGTTTTGTGTATGATATGATATATTTTTTAAAGTAGCAGTGGGGAGCAGTAGCTGGGTATGGTGATGGTGGTACAAAGTCTGCATAATTTTCAACTTTTAGTACACAAATTCCCTGTGAGGATTCTCAGGCCCCAGACTCACTGGAAAGAGTTTCAGACGTTTACCATATTTACGTGTGTATAGACCGCAATATTTTAACAAAAAATCATTGAAGAAAAATAGGGTGCCGCTTATTTTCCATATATTAGGTCTAAATGTTATCTGTACAGAATTTATTAAAAAGCATAATAAGTTATATTTTTTCTTCTTTTACTCCTCCTCCTCCTTCTTCTTCTTCTTTTTCTTCTTCTTCTTCTTCTTCTTCTTCTTCTTCTTCTTCTTCTTCTTCTTCTTCTTCTTCTTCTTCTTCTTCTTCTTCTTCTTCTTCTTCTTCTTCTTCTTCTTCTTCTTCTTCTTCTACGTCTACATCTGCTTCTTCTTCTTCAGTCCTGTTCTGCCTTTCAACATCAGGTTTTGAAGTGGCATCAGTTGCAAGCCTTGGTATGTGCTCCATGGATGCTGGTATTTATGACCTCTGATATTTCAAGCTAGTATGCAGGGAATTCACAGGAGCTAAATCAATTATATCTTATTATTTGGAAGTGAATCATGGACACCTGGCAAATTAGAAAAACACCTATTCGGAAGCAGTGGGGATGTGATTTTAAAGATGTAATAATGAGAACACCCCAAATTGATTAAAAGAGTAATGAAGATGTCTTGATAGAAACTGATTTGTGGAGAGAACTGACTGCCCACAGAAGAAGGAGACATTCTACATTCTTTGGTCATGTCCTTTGAATGAGAAAACTGGAGTACATCATGACAGTGGCAATGCTAGAGGGCAAAAGAGGCAGAGGGAGATGCTGAACGGTTTGACAGCATAAGATGGAAAATCATATGTCTCAGAATTGATTGACAGTAAACGAGACAGAAGGTTATGGATAGACAAGACTACCAACACCGCTTGGCATGGACTTTAAACGCATCAACACTACAGGAGTCCTTTTCAGGGCTCTTGGCGGCGTGCAATTCTAATAGCCATTGTGTATGTTGCACATATCCTAGTCATAATTATAACCTAAAATAAAGCCTTCGGGGAATCTGATTGAACATGATGATTTTTTTCCCCGGCAAAGCATTGGATTGAATTGTATATCTTTCTTTTAACAAAAAGATTTACACATTTTCCCACATGTATGTATCTATGTGTGTGTGTGTGTGTGCATATATATATATATATATATATATATATATATATATATATATATATATATATATATATATATATATATATATATATATATATATATATATATATATATATATATATATATATATATATATATATATATATATATATATATATCTCCCTTTTTGTCAGAACCTTAAATTCAAAGCTAACAGTTCTTAATCATATTGTTTAATTTTTTTATTTTTATTTAGTCTTCAGCTAACATGCTTGATTGAAATGGACTATATATTTTGGCTTAGTTGTGTATTTTTTTCCAAAGCATAATCTACCACCCCCTGGCCCATATGCAGACCCGAAATAAGGACACCAGTACGCTTATCATTGGTGGCATCAGCAGGGGCAGATCATCCCACAGCCCAGGCTCTGATACTGATCCCTGTCCTCAGCCAATGTATTATGCATTAGCTACACTTGATGGTAGGTTAACATGTTGTGCATCTTCGTCTACTTCTTTGTTTTCTTGTTCTCCTTCTACATCATCTTCTTCTTCTTCTTCTTCTTCTTCTTCTTCTTCTTCTTCTTCTTCTTCTTCTTCTTCTTCTTCTTCTTTTTCTTCTTCTTCTTCTTCTTCTTCTTCTTCTTCTTCTTCTTCTTCTTCTTCTTCTTCTTCTTCTTCTTCTTCTTCTTCTTCTTCTTCTTCTTCTTCTTCTTCTTCTTCTTCTTCTTTTTTCTTCTTCTTCTTCTTCTTCTTCTTCTTCTTCTTCTTCTTCTTCTTCTTCTTCTTCTTCTTCTTCTTCTTCTTCTTCTTCTTCTTCTTTTTCTTCTTCTTCTTCTTTTTCTTCATATTCTTCTTCTTCTTTTTCTTCTTCTTCTTCTTCTTCTTTTTCTTCTTCTTCTTTTTCTTCTTCTTCTTTTTCTTCTTCTTCTTCTTCTAATTCTTTTTCTTCTTTTTTTTCTTCTTTGTTCACGGGCTGTAAGCTTCGGCATAAATTCCTGGTTGTTATTCATTTTGGACTTTGGCTTTGTGCCAGGGCCTGAAGTATGCGTGTACATCCGTTTTACTGGCTTATGCTTTTCTTCGTTTTCACCTGCTGTAAACTCCAGCAGAAAGTTCTTGTTTTCATCTGCTTCTGGAATTTAGTCATGTTCTCGAATTTGAGTTGTCCATGCATGTCCATTTTACAAGATGTGGCTTATTTGCATACATACTGTTAGTCCCTCATCTCTCAGGCAGATGCACTCTGACTTTGAAGGACAAGGGAAGGAAAATTTGCACATGATTATGTTTTGTGTGCTGTCACCATTGCATTTTCATCATCATCATCAACATATGAAGCAGTATGGCAAGAAAATTACAAAAGTGACTTCTTCCTAGGATGACAGACTAGCAGTCTCCAGACAACTCTGAAGAGGCTCGTAGATAAAGATGTCTACGGATTAGATACAGGTTTTGGAGACAGACAAGAGACGTTGCAGAACCAACCCCAGCATTTTTAGGCTGTTGTGTTTTTTCTAGGCAGATTTACATCCAGTAGTTTGTCTTTGCTTTCTGGACAGCTTCTCGATACCACTGTCGAAATCATCGCAAGGCCCGCAACTGGGATTGAACTCGGCATTACGAAGCACGTTTGCAACACCTAAGCCACAGACGCCGACTAAAAAAGAAACATGAAGTTAAATATGTACCGTATGCCAACCGACATTGGACCAGGGGTTCCTGTAGGAAAAGCGGTGAGAATGGAAAATCCCCATCCTACCTTATAACATGTCATGGCCTAGAATATATGAAGATCTTACACTTCACATCCTAAGGCAGTATCTGCTGTGGCAGCTACCTTTATATTACAGTAAAACTTCAGTTAAACATCATCGCCTGGACCAGGGCTGTGATGGATAAGGGATAGGTTTAGATTTAGATGACAGATCAACATCAGGGCACAAGGGTAGTAACCCATAAGTGCTCCATTCTAGTTCTGACCCAATCCTGAGTCCGAAGTTTCTCAGCGCAGTGCACAAACTCCAAAGCACTGGCAAGGATCCTTAAATACTTTGGGCAGATTTTTAACTCCAGATTTGGTCCGGGCAGCGCCGTTAGGCTACTCTTATCGATTTCCAACTGCCAAGGGACTTTTTTTTTAACATGCGCAACAATACACATGGGAAAGGGGAAATTACAAGAAGTCTGCTTAAAAAAAATCCCAGCCTTCACAGGGGCTTGAACCCGGGACCTCCAGTACCCAAGGCGGACGCCATGCCTTGGGACCACGCAGCCCCCTGATGGATAATGGAATAGACGGGTAACAGAAATCTCTTAGTACATATGTACTGTAATGTGGTTTTATTGTGGGCTTGGGGCAAAAATGAAAATTTAGTCCTTTAAAAGTAAATAATACGTACATTTATTTAATTTTATAAAATGACCTTTATAAACTTCAATATAATAGTTGTACAAAAAAAGGTAATACTGTAAACCTAGGTTCATCATCATCATCATCATCACACCGTAACACTGCGTGTCATAAAGTCTCCAATTGCTGTTGACTGTCTGATCAGCTCCCTCTACCTTTGACAGTCAGATGCGTTGGACTTTGAAAACATTGCTTAATATTATCCCCATTGTTATTGACTGCCTGTTGAAAACTCATTACTTGATACTGATATTATCCTGAATGTCATTGGCTGACTGTTGAGAACTAACTGCTTGATGCTGATGTTATCCATCTCGAATGTTACTGGCTGACTGTTGAGAACTAATTGCTTGATGCTGATGTTATCCATCCCGAATGTCATTGGCTGACTGTTGAGAACTAACTGCTTGATGCTGATGTTATCCATCCCGAATGTCATTGGCTGACTGTTGAGAACTAACTGCTTGATGCTGATGTTATCCATCCCGAATGTCATTGGCTGACTGTTGAAAACTAACTGCTTGATGCTGATGTTATCCATCCCGAATGTTACTGGCTGACTGTTGGGAACTAACTGCTTGATGCTGATGTTATCCATCCCGAATGTCATTGGCTGACTGTTGAGAACTAATTGCTTGATGCTGATGTTATCCATCCCGAATGTTACTGGCTGACTGTTGAGAACTAACTGCTTGATGCTGATGTTATCCATCCCGAATGTTACTGGCTGACTGTTGAGAACTAACTGTTTGATGCTGATGTTATCCATCCCGAATGTCATTGGCTGACTGTTGAGAACTATTTGCTTGATGCTGATGTTATCCATCCGGAATGTCATTGGCTGACTGTTGAGAACTAACTGCTTGATGCTGATGTTATCCATCCGGAATGTCATTGGCTGACTGTTGAGAACTAACTGCTTGATGCTGATGTTATCCATCCCGAATGTCATTGGCTGACTGTTGAGAACTAACTGCTTGATGCTGATGTTATCCATCCCGAATGTCATTGGCTGACTGTTGAGAACTAACTGCTTGATGCTGATGTTATCCATCCGGAATGTCATTGGCTGACTGTTGAGAACTAACTGCTTGATGCTGATGTTATCCATCCGGAATGTCATTGGCTGACTGTTGAGAACTAACTGCTTGATGCTGGTGTTATCCATCCGGAATGTCATTGGCTGACTGTTGAGAACTAATTGCTTGATGCTGGTGTTATCCATCCGGAATGTCATTGGCTGACTGTTGAGAACTAACTGCTTGATGCTGATGTTATCCATCCCGAATGTTACTGGCTGACTGTTGAGAACTAACTGCTTGATGCTGATGTTATCCATCCCGAATGTTACTGGCTGACTGTTGAGAACTAATTGCTTGATGCTGATGTTATCCATCCCGAATGTCATTGGCTGACTGTTGAGAACTAACTGCTTGATGCTGATGTTATCCATCCTGTATGTCATTGGCTGACTGTTGAGAACTAACTGCTTGATGCTGATGTTATCCATCCTGTATGTCATTGGCTGACTGTTGAGAACTAACTGCTTGATGCTGATGTTATCCATCCAGAATGTCATTGGCTGACTGTTGAGAACTAATTGCTTGATGCTGATGTTATCCATCCGGAATGTCATTGGCTGACTGTTGAGAACTAACTGCTTGATGCTGATGTTATCCATCCCGAATGTCATTGGCTGACTGTTGAGAACTAACTGCTTGATGCTGATGTTATCCATCCGGAATGTCATTGGCTGACTGTTGAGAACTATTTGCTTGATGCTGATGTTATCCATCCCGAATGTCATTGGCTGACTGTTGAGAACTAACTGCTTGATGCTGATGTTATCCATCCCGAATGTCATTGGCTGACTGTTGAGAACTAACTGCTTGATGCTGATGTTATCCATCCCGAATGTCATTGGCTGACTGTTGAGAACTAACTGCTTGATGCTGATGTTATCCATCCCGAATGTTACTGGCTGACTGTTGAGAACTAATTGCTTGATGCTGATGTTATCCATCCCGAATGTTACTGGCTGACTGTTGAGAACTATTTGCTTGATGCTGATGTTATCCATCCCGAATGTTACTGGCTGACTGTTGAGAACTAATTGCTTGATGCTGATGTTATCCATCCCGAATGTCATTGGCTGACTGTTGAGAACTATTTGCTTGATGCTGATGTTATCCATTATGTATGTCATTGGCTGACTGTTGAGAACTAACTGCTTGATGCTGATGTTATCCATCCGGAATGTTACTGGCTGACTGTTGAGAACTAATTGCTTGATGCTGATGTTATCCATCCCGAATGTCATTGGCTGACTGTTGAGAACTATTTGCTTGATGCTGATGTTATCCATTATGTATGTCATTGGCTGACTGTTGAGAACTAACTGCTTGATGCTGATGTTATCCATCCCGAATGTTACTGGCTGACTGTTGAGAACTAATTGCTTGATGCTGATGTTATCCATCCCGAATGTTACTGGCTGACTGTTGAGAACTAATTGCTTGATGATGATGTTATTCATCCCGAATGTTACTGGCTGACTGTTGAGAACTAATTGCTTGATGCTGATGTTATCCTAGTGTTATTGGCTGACTATTGAAAACTCATTGCTTAATACTGATATTATCTCCAATTTTATTATTTCAGGGTCATTAATCCTGGTAGAGAATGATACCATCATCTGGTCACTTCAAGTTGACCACTACCTGTTTGCCCTGACAAAGCTGGATGTTACCGTGAGTACTTGACCTGTTGCTTTCATGTCTTATTCATATTCAAGCATGGTTGTATTTAATGGCAACAAAAACAGTTTTTATTATCTGTGTCAGCTATTAATAGGACGGTTGTGGTTTGTCTGCAACTTTCGGCCCAAGACATCCAATTTTAACAAGCCCACATTAGTCACTTTTTTATGACATGCTTGTCAAAGAGGCAGCAGATTAATTCTTTTTTCCCTCCAGAATTTTGAATGTTGAATAAAGAATCATAGCGTCGGGACACTCCCATAAGAGATTCGTCCCCATCTCCAGCAGCAAGCAGAGAGTTCAAATTCCGATGGTACTATTTGATTGTACATCCATCTGGCCCTTCCCTCCAAAATAGCCACCTAGAACCAACATGATGTTTGATCTGTAGCTTTCATCTGTGGCTATTCGGTCTGTATTCATTGGCTAATGAAAGTAGAACATTATTTACAACAGTGAGAAGGAGACAAAGTTCTTTGGTCATGTGATGTGATCAGAAAATGAGAACTATAAAATCTGGTGATGACTGGAAAGATCACTGGTAGAAGAGGCAGATGCAGACCAAGAGAAATGATGTTGAATGGCTCAAGACAGTGGCATGGAGGAATATCATCTGTAAAATTGATCCAGAACACCAAAGACTGAGATCTGTGGAGATTCTTGAATACCTACGCCATCTGACAGGGCACTTGATAATGATATCTGTTGTGCATAAGCAGCATTATTTCACATCATAAGTCACCCTTAACATTTTGTTATGCATTTAAGAAAAGAAGTGTTTATAGTTTTCTGTGAGACTTTGGAGTTGTGATTGTACAGAAGAATGGTTAAAAATGAGTAACCCAGATGTTTTGACAGAGGCAAGTGAGTGAAGACAAATGAAAAACATCAGATGCAGACAGTCATAATTTTTTTAAGGCCATATTATGAGAATATGGAAACTGGTACATTGAAACTATGGAAAGGTTTGTGGAAAGAGAGATAGTGGAAGACAGTGCAAGAAGATTCCTGGCAGCCTTTTATCATGGCATGAAAGAGTGTCAGCTTGTGAACTGATACATCCTGTTGGAGATCACATATTGTGGAGAGGCATGATTGTTTGCAATAATCAGCAAAGCACTTGATAGTGATAATGTTCTGAAAATTTAGTTGAGTTGATTCAAGAACCAACATCACAGCACTAAGGGCATTCCTATAAGCTCTCCGTCCCCATCTTCAGCAGCCAGCGCAGGGTTCCAGTACCAGTGGTGCAGGTAGCAGTCTGGTTATATGTCTATCTTGCCTTTCCTCTGTGCGTCGAGTATCAGGGAAATCCCCTCGCCACTCCTGACTGCATCACTCTCACCAGACTAATGATCAGTTTGTTGTTCTGAATTGTACATATGCTCCCATAAGGCCGGAACCACGCCTGCCTTATTATGCATCAATATTCCACCAAGTTGTGCTGAGCCAGTTAATCTATCCACCTGTTAATTTTCCAACACACCGGCATACCCCAGAGAAAAGATCCTAAATATTGATTCATTAAATTGTTACACTCTTTCCTCCTATTTTCTTGTTTGACTATAAATACACATTTATTGATGTATCTGAATTGATTCTGTTCTAATTGTAATTTTACTCTACTGTCTTGTCTCCTAGGGCAATGGTAAAGAAGAAGTAGTTTGTTGCTCTTGGAATGGCCAGACTTATATTGTCAACCACAGCAAGGAAATTGTTCGCTATCATTTCCCAGACAGTGTGGCTGCCTTTTGTGCTGGTAATTTTGAGTTTGTGCACATTCTCATTCAGTTCCCATTGATGGCAAGAAATAATTAATTTGTCTTAAGTCTTAACATAAATGCGAGCCGCAGTAGCTTAGTGGCTGCACGCTTGCCTGCTGACCCGAAGGTTGTGAGTATGAATCCGCATTTTTTAAAGAATGACCTTGGTTCCCTGGTCAACCCAGTCTGAAATGGATACTAGGTAAAGTCCTGGGAAGTAAAGGCAGCGAGCATGATGTTGACCACATCACTCATTGAGTGCTCATCAGTTCATAAAATATGAGTTTAGCATCATATTACTGGTCTAACTGCATTTTACTTACTCACTGATATAAATGTCTAGGAGCCACAATGATGGAGTGGCTAGATGCTAACTTGCTGCTCCAGAGGTCTTGGGTTTGAATCCACATTGTGGCTAATTTGTATAGTTGACCCGGGCTCCCAAGTCCGAGAGCCAGGTGAACTATTTTGGCCACATTAAAAGATGAATGAATGAATCTAGAATTGACATCAGTGCACTCGGGACATTCTCCTACATTCCCTTACATATTACATCCCCTTCCTTAGTAGCCAGTGAAGAGATCCTATTCTGATGGAGCCAGTTACCACTAAAACATATGACACTTTATAAAAATCAACAAGACGGAAAAAGTTGAGGACAAATCACAGAGTGTCTCTTCCTGTATCATTAGAACAAAAAATAATGGTTCTTTCTTAATATCTTACCCCAGATGACGTCACAGGACAGTCCAACATTTTAAAGGGTGGTAGGAGTGGGTTTCCCAGCTTTCTGATGCTTTTAACGACCCCAAAACATCTAGAACTGGCCCTAATCCCTACCCACCTACATCCCACAAGAGAGTGCAGCCTAGGTCACACGATTGCATGCAGCCTAGGTCCCATGACTGCAAACAGCCTATCTACCACCCCCTGAAATGTTAGACTGTCCCGTGACCTGTGGGCTTCCTCTGTTTAGGGTAGGATATTAATAAAGCACCAAAATAATGCATTAAAAAAAGACACTGGTAATGCACACCATAACTACTGCAAGAAAAAAGCCGCTTGCTTTATTTATACTTTGGGGGGGGGGGGGGGAGGGGGTCTCCGTGATGAACTTATCAGGTGCTCTGAAAATGTTGGATTGAATACTTGCCTGTCGTTCAGTTTATAAATGAAATTGTTACAGAGATCTGTGTTTTCCCCTCAGCCTTGAATATCATGCAGAACCCCGGCTAAATTCTCTTAACTTTTGGTTCTACCTCAACCTTTAGTTCTGCTTTTATGCTAACCTTATAACATAGTTTCCATGATGTTGCAGGCTATTTTTCTCTACGAGATCGCACCAATGCCCCATGTTTTGTGTATGCCACTTTCAACAACCGGATATACATCTACCCTAATATCACTTTACCTCAAGTGGAATCCACTAACTTGGTCAAAGTGTTGAGTAAAAAACCAGAAACCAGTGAACTCCTTCGTAAGCTAAATATTAATGGTATGTATCATGTGTGCTGTTCTCTTTTTACTGTCATACATCAGCTGTTTCTTCTCCCTCTGCCTTTAAAGGAGTGGTTGGCATTTTCTGTTTACAGCTAGGCTGCGATAACTGCACCTTTCAGTTTCAGAAAAGCCTTAATCCTTTTTTTTTTCTCTTTACCATTGCAGTCTGTAAGATTAACATCTAATTTTAGAAGCATATTGTCCACATCACTGCTAAGATACGAGAAATGGGAGTAACGATCGGCACAGCCAAGCATGAGAAGCACACCGGACGCACACAAAGTCTTGTTAACCAACATAGGACTGGCACTATTAACCCTGCGACACAGATGAATGTGTTGAGAGGGGAATTTGAGCTCTTATGGATGTGCCCAGAGGGCTGTGAAGATAATCTAACTCATAACTCAAGATTAACACCACAAGGATGATAATCAAACAGTAACAAATTCCAGAAGCCCAGTTCAAATATATAACCATAGTGTGGATGTGTCTGATTGCAGACAGGCTTGTTGATTATGGCAGTTTGCCTGTGTTTTCAACTTAACATGGAACCCCAGAACAACACTAGGAACATTTTATTGTTCTGAAGTCTTTCCATTAGTGTTAAAATTTTAAAATATTTTGATTATTTCTTCATGTTACATCTGGTCAAGTTTATTCTTCTTCCTTCTTCTTCTGGTTTACCAGCTGTAAACTCTGGCGGAAAGTTCTGGTTGTTCATCCACTTCTGGACTCTAATGCTGTTTCAGAAACTGAGTGTTTTGTGCACAATCGTTTCACAGGTCTGACTCATTTGCATGCAGACTGTTAGTTCCTTGCCTCTCAGACATATGTACTCCCTTCGAAGGAAGCTTCCAATTAGTCGACTCTTATGACATGCCTTTTTACAGGCAGTGGGCCTTTTCTTGTTCTCCCTACAAGGGGCCATGGAACACACACAGGGAGTCAAGTATACTTTTAGAGATAACTTGGGAAAACTATTTCTGCTTCACTTTCCTTTCTGCTGTCCTTCTCCAGGTTTTCCTAGGTTTTTTAAATTTCCATTTCCCATCTGTCCTCCACTGGATAGCTGTCCAATGCTAAAGTGTCATTAGCATTCTGAAAACGTGTCCATGCCATCTCCGTCTTCTCACTTTGATAATGTTTACCAGTGGTGAACATTTTGCCTATTTCCTCAGCTCTTCATTTGTGATTTGTTTGGCCATAATATTCACAGGATTCTCCTTAGACATTTCTTTCAAAAAGTTTATATTTTACACAATAAACACCAGTTTTTTTATGCATTATTGCTAAAATTGGATGTTTATTTTCTTTCAGCTGATGATGTTGATTCATTACAAAAGCTTTATCGCTGGTGTCTATATGGCTATCCAAGAAAGTCCCAGGGTTAAGTTTTCACAGAGGACATATTAAATATATGAAAACTGTAGGAGTTCATTTTTGATAATTCATGTGCATGTATAATACGTGTGATAAGTTAGTTGCATATCTTTTACTGGACATTGCAGAACCAGCTCCAGCACTTTTTTTTACTGTTTTGGTTTGACTAGGCAATTTTAAATTTCAATAGTTTGCCATTGCCTCTGAACAGTAAGCTCTCGATACCATTGTTGAACTCAGTGCAAAGCAATATGCAGCCTAATTGTCTGCATCTAAATGAAACCTAGTATCATGGAATTATGAAGCATGTTCACGGGGATTATGCCTCAGATACAGACATTTATTTATGATAAAACCATAAAAAAACAATGCACGAAGTTACACATTGAGAAATAACTATAATTTTTCAGAGAATTCCCAGGTTTAAATCTCGACAGGTGGCTTATTAAATATTATAAAATAAACTCGTAGAACAGATTGCAACGAACCTCCATGCATGGAGAGTCATGACCTCTGCCCTATGTGCCGCACTCGACACAAGAGGAAAGACTAACTAACTAACTACTTGTGATAATTTATGTTTATGTAAGGTCCAAGTAGTTCATAGAAAACATAGTGCACAAATTCATAAGTGTCTGAATGGGTTTAAGACTTGACTTGTGACATTGAATATTGAAGAGCTGTGGAGTCCAGTTGTGATAATTTTTATTTTGTTTCTAATGTAAGATAACAAGTAGTTCACAGAAAATATAGTGTACAAATTAATAAGTGCCTCATAGTTTTTCTAAAGAACGCCAGGGTTAAATCTTTACATATGGCTTATTAAATATGAGAAAACTATAGTCTACTTGTGATCTGTTATGTTTTTGTAAGAGAAAAAGTTATTCATAGAAAACAGCGCACAAATTGATGTGCCTGGATATGATTTCAAAGAAACTCCAGAGTTAAAAGTTGACTGGTGACATTAAATTTTGAAAAGCGATAAGTTTATTTACACTTATAAACAGAAAGCAGTTGGTGGAATGGTTAAAAACACTAGGTCTCATATGGGAGTCCCATACCCATGTTCCAAACCCCTGTACGGTTGTCAAGCACAAGCTTGTGTATAGATATGGTCAAGGCTCTTTGGGAACAAGATACGGAATCAGTAGCCAGAAGCCAGAGTCTACAGAATGAACAGCCTGGACTTTGCACTGGAGCTTACAGCCGGTGAACAAAGAAGAAATAGAAAATCATTCAAAGACCTCCAGCCTACACTGCAAAAATGGTAGCTACAAGCAATAATTGGCATTGAGCTAGCGTTGCCTTTGGCAGATTGTACAAAAATGTTTGGAACAGAAGTGGCATAACCCTGTAGACAAAGCTTAAAGTATACAGAGCAGTTGTATTAACTACACTGCTGTATGCATGTGAAACATGGACTGTATACCAGCGCCAGGCTAGAAAGTTAAACCACTTTCACACAGTCTGCCTTAGAAAACTAATGCATATCAGATGGAAAGACAAAGTACCTGATACTGTAGTCCTTGAGAAAGCAGCCATGCCCAGCATCCACAATCTACTGATGCAGTATTAAATTCATTGGGCTGGTCATATGGCACGCATGCCAGATCACATGCTCCCCCAAAAAAAACTCTTTTATGGTGAGCTGCAAAATGGGAAACGTTCCCAAGGCGGGCAAAAGAAACGCTTTAAGGACACCTTGAAGTCTTCACTCAAAGCATTTGGGATGAATGACACCAGCTGGGAGGCTGCCTCTTAAGACCGAAATGCATGGCGTGCAGCTCTACACAGGGGCACGGCTACATATGAAGCAAACAGAACAGCAAGACTTATTAAGAAAAGGATGGACAGAAAGGTGACTGCAGGAGATCCCCTCCCTGGCACAACGCTCATTCCCTGTCCTCACTGTCCAAGAACTTTTCGGGCCCACATCGACATCATCAGTCATCTTCATACTCATACTTGATGAAAAAGAGTGGCCATCATCATCTTGATGGACAACACACAATTGGCATTTTATAGATGAGTGTGTGGCTCTTTAGCATTTTACAAAATCTGAATATCTAACAACACTGGCTTTAAACAACATCATGTCTAAAAATGTTTAGCCTGTTCAGATTACAGAGGGGGTAAAACTGTGAATCAGCTGATTTACAATAGTTATGCATCTGTGCTGATGGATGTAAGGGAAGGCATGAATGTTTTTTTAAAAGTGTGGATGTGACAAGAAATATATGAGGAAATATTGTGATTTGTGCACAAGAAGAGTGTGATTTGTGCAAAATAAGAGTGTGATTTGTGTACAAGAAGAGTGTGATTTGTGCACAAGAAGAGTGTGATTTTTTTACAAGCAAAGTGATTTGTGCACAAGAAGAGTGTGATTTTTGTACAAGAAGTGTGATTTGTGCACAAGAAGAGTGTGATTTGTCCACAAGAAGAGTGATGTATGCACTAGAAGAGTGTGATTTGTGCACAAGAAGAGTGTGATTTGTGTACAAGAAGAGTGTAATTTGTGTACAAGAAGAGTGTGATTTGTGTACAAGGAAAGTGATTTGTGCACAAGAAAGAGTGTGATTTTTGTACAAGAAGTGTTATTTGTGCACAAGAAGAGTGTGATTTGTCCACAAGAAGAGTGATGTGTGCACTAGAAGAGTGTGATTTGTCTACAAGAAGAGTGTGATTTGTGTACAAGAAGAGTGTGATTCGTGTACAAGAAGAGTGTGATTTGTGTAGAAGAAGAGTGTGATTTGTGTACAAGAAGAGTGTGATTTGAGTACAAGAAGAGTGATTTGTGTACAAGAAGAGTGTGATTTGTGTACAAGAAGAGTGTGATGTGTGCACTAGAAGAGTGTGATTTGTGTACAAGAAGAGTGTGATTTGTGTACAGCCAATGTTCTGCTGCAGCAATCAATGAATTATCTATAGGTATGCTCAACATGTTATGATGTCTGTTCTAAAATCAGTTTGTATTTTCCCTTGTGGGCTCAATTGTGGAGGGGAAAGTAATAGACCCCCCCCCCCCCCCCCCCAACAAACATGTAATATAAATAGACTAATTAGGTGTGTTTTCTTCAAAGTCAGAGTGCGTCTGTTCGACAGGTGATGAACCAGCAGTCTGCTTACAAATAAACCCGATCTTCCAAACGGATGTGCACACAAAACTCAACTTCTGGAACAAGACTAAAGTTCAGAAATAGATAGACAAACACGGTAAAGATAAAACAAAAAAATTTCGGGAGATGTGAACCAGCGTCATTGCGCACGGTTATAAACCAAAAGTACTCTGCCACCAGTACGGACAGCTGATTAGAAAAACTGTGTCGCCGTCCGGGTGTAACTCCGTAGCTATAGCGACGTTCTTCCATTTACCCCAGAGTGTCAACTCTGGAACTCAATTCCTAGAGGCTGGGTGAACCCCAGGAATTGCACGGTTTCGAACACCGCCCGTAGGCTGCAGCAAGTTGCAGCTGGATTTCAAAGCGAGTCTCCTATCGACTGCGCTAACGCACCAACTTTCCGCCGGAGTTTACAGCTGGTGAACGCGAAGAAGTAAAGCTAACATGTCTAGAGAAAGAAAAAAAACTTTGTATATGGCAGCATAGCCATCATTTGCATGACCAGCTTGGTGGGGAGGGGGTGTGAACAACGCGGAGACACATATGGATTATCATGGTCTAAGGAGAAAGGTGCTGCAAGAAGTGGACCAGGGGATCTGGCTGACCGACGATCAACACTCAGAAGGACGGTGCTGCCCGGCTCTCTAGCGTAGTTGGTTAAATCTGACTTTCGCGGCGGCCGGGTGACAAACTCCTTGTAGTCCGGGTTCACTCCCGTGGGTAGGCAGAAAAGCCACATTTCTCCTAGATTAACGGTACCTATAATGGAATCAAGGCCGAAGGTTGCGATATCCATAGTACGGATCCAAAGGGTTTACAACTCATGGTTTCTGGATACTTTAAAAAAAAAAAAAGGACGGTGCTGCAAGGAGTGGACCAGGGGATATGGCTGACCAACGATCAACATTCAGAAGGACGGTGCTGCAAGGAATGACCAGGGGATCTCGCTGGAGAAAGGTACGACGGATATAAAATCAGATTGTCCGTGGTATCATCGGAATTGGAATTATCTCTGCATTTGCTGCTGAAGATGGACACAGGGCGCTTATGGGAATGTCCTGAGTGCTGTGGTGTCAATTAAACATCAAAGCCACTATTTAGATGCGGCAGGTTCGGATTTAAGTGTGGTCCCATAAGCTGTCCACTTATATTTTGTCAAGCGCCCCATGTGGATTCCCGGACCCCTCTTTTTGTACGGGGGGGGGGGGGGGGGGGAGGGGTTCGGCTCCCCCATAAAAACAGTCAAGTTTATCAAAAGAACTTGTCTGTCGGTGTAAATCAGCAAGCGAACAATCAGAAGAAGAAGAAGAAGAAGAAGAAGAGGGAGGAGGAGAAGAAGAAGTAGGAGAAAAAGAAGAAAACGAAGGAGGAGGAGAAGAAGAAGAAGGGTGATGAGGAAGAGGAGGAGGAGGAAAATGAGGATGTAGAAGGGTGAAAGCAGAAGGGGATTGTCGAGTTAGTCATTTAAACTATTGTTCATTCTCTACTTCTGTAAATGCAGATCTATTCCCTATCGATCGATTAGTCCTCTTCGGACTGCTACCTAAAGGTTTACCATACCATCCTGAGATATTAAAAGCTCAATCCGGATGGCAGACCACCAAGGCAGATTCCAGATACCCCGTTTAATCTGGAAAGATGATATAATTAGGGCACCAGTAACGGCTTCTTTTGTATGGGCCGGAAACATTGAGAACAACTACAGACATTCATTAACTGGTGCCGGTGCAGAATAGAGGAATTTAAAGGGTATGATAGAATCACTAATGTAGAGCTTTGGGAGATAACTAAGCAAGCTGCATTGCTATGCTTTTCATATCATCATCATCATCCCGTAACACTATACGTCGACTGGTCACCAGTTTCTGTTGACTGTCTAATCAGCTCTCTCCACATTTGGCAGTCATTTGTCATGGACTTCATGGTTGCATGCCTGAGGCCTGTCCTGTCAGTCAGGTTCTGTAACCAGGTCTTTCTTGGTCTGCCTCTCTTCCTCTTTCCCTCTGCTGAGCCTTGCAGTATTGTTTTGAAAGGCCGTTAAATTTTATTACAAGTACACCAGTGTTGCCACTTTTGATATTTTACATCCAGATTTAGATGTTTTTCTTTGCATTTAGATGGCGTTTTTGACGTTTAGATGGTAGATACTTTCTAAATGTTTTTCATTGGAGTGGCTTTATAAAATCCACTGCCTTCTCTAATAAACAGAGAAGGCCGTGATCAAATCTAACCTAAGAAAAAGGATGAAATTTGACCTCTTAAATGCTATCTTGACAATAAAATTCGGCCTGATAAGAGTAGGAAAAGGCTGTTCCACTTATCAGCTTCCTGATTGGGTATTAAAAGAAATTGGAACAGCTAAAGCATACCAGTCATTTTGGATCTGAAGTAATAAATTCATCATCCAAGCTAAGTTTATCCTGTGGATCTTGTGAGGCAGACTTCAGTAAAAATGAGGACATAATTCTATAGGATAAGACATATCAATAGCTATGTAATTTGTGACTCTTTCCATTTGGATGTTTTTTCTGGATGTTTTTCACGCAATTTTAGATGTTTTAGATATATTTTGACTCCGTTTTGGATGTTTTTTTTTCAAAGAAAAGTGCAGTGGTCTCACTACATCGGTCTACTATAAACCGACCGACTCCCATGCCTTTCTACTCTATGACTCCTCTCATCCTCGGTCTTGTAAGGACGCCATTCCTTTCTCTCAACTCTTGGTCTTAGACGATTATGCCAGGATGATGATGACTTTCGCAGTAGGGCCCACGAAATGATGAATTTCTTCCGATCACGTGGATATCCTGTCTTAGAATCTGCCTTCCGCCGCTCCCAGAGCATCAGTCGGGTGGATGCTTTCATCCCCAGGCCTAAACGGCAGAACCTTAGACCCATACTTTCCTTAACTTACCACCCTCATAACATTGCTATCAAGAACATCCTATTCCGCCATATGTCTATCCTCCGAGCGGACCCAGTAACCAACGCTATGTTTTCAGAGACACCTCTACTGGCATTTAAGCGGGACCGCAACCTCAGAGATTTACTGGTACACAGCAGAGTACGGGTACCCGCCCCAACTCATCCGGGCACCAAGGCCTGCCTTAGATTTCAGTGCAACACCTGCCCATACGTGCTGAATACTTCAGATGTGACTTTTCCTAAAGGCACTTTTAGCATCAAAGAGGAATTCTCCTGCACTAGTAGGAACGTCATCTATGCTATCATCTGCAAACGGTGCAACATCAAGTACATCGGGGAAACCGGTCTTCGCTTAGCCGAGAGGTTTCGCCAGCACCTTCATGACATCACTAACCAAACAGCCAGGCCAGTTTCCACTCATTTCAACAGCGCTGACCATCGGGGGACCGCTGACATTCAAGTCACGGCCATCAGATCCTGCTCGTCTGACGATCGACATCGGAAAACTTTGGAAAACCGACTTATATATTTGATGGGTAACCTCTCACCACTAGGCCTTAACACCCAACATAGCTTCGTATAAATTACCAGTGTCCCTGTAACGCACCCTTATCCCCCCTCCCCACTACACCCACGCCCATCCCACGTTAGTTTCTGACTATCATGATATTCCAGTTTCATAGCATGAGGGTTATCCCCTAGGTCTCGACAGATTATGTTGCTGGTTGCTTGACACTACATAATATACTTGGATACTAGTCTCTCTCTCTCTCTCTCTCTCTCTCTCTCTCTCTCTCTCCCTCTCTCTCTCTCTCTCTCTCTCTCTCTCTCTCTCTAGGTATATACCAAGTTTTCTCTGGTCTTCCCTCTCCATTTCTCTTCTCCCCTTCCCCTCCCCCTTTCTGTTTTGTTTCTCCCCTACCCCCCCCTCTCTCTCTCTCGTGCTCTATCTTCTTCTCTTTCTCTCCCCTATTCATACAAACTTTCATCCATCCATTCATTTTTCCTCGTTACATATGGATGCACTGTCCTAATGTGGAACAATTTCGTGATAGTGTTGGAACGCACTCCTCCTATACAGTGTACATATCTCGTTTTGACTACCGAGAGGGTAAGTATGTGTACACACTGGGGGTATGCAGTTCTGACTCGACAGATATAGGGTATAACAATCATACTTACTGTCTCTGTGTGACATCTGACAGTCAGATAGAAGCACTGCATCACTAGACCCTTGTTCACGCGATGTCAGATTAACATACATTCAGACCCATCCATCTATACATCCTTCCATCTACCCATCCATCCTCTCGTCCACCCATATATCATATCATTCATTCATCCCAATCCACTCAGCCTATTATTCGATGTGTCCATCCATTCATCGCTCCCCACGTCTCTTTACACACATACCCGATGTACAATCCATCACTAGTCTCGGCTACCTACTCAGCAGGTATCTCAGGCAACACGATGTGGTTGCGCGTGGGCTCGATTGATACTTTGTATAACAGTCACCCTTACTGTCTTTACTTGCTTGATGACAGTAAGAGAGAAGCATCACAGTATGAGACCCTTGTTTAGACCTGTTTAAATCCCCGGCTCTCTAGCGTAGTTGGCTAAACCGGATTGCGCGGTGAGCGGGTGACGAACTCCTTGTGGTCCGGGTTCACTTCCGGGGGTAGGCATAAAAGCCACATTTCTCCTAGTTTTACGGTATTTAAAATGGAATCAAGGCCGAAGGGTTGCGATTTCCAAAATACCGAGCCTAAGGATTAACACCTCATGGCTTCTGGATACTAAAACAAAGCAACAAACCTGTTTTAATATATCAGCATACATATGTTCATAGTTGCCAATGTGCTGTACAATTTTATGGCGAACCTGTTCGTTTGTGTTTCAAATAAAATAGTAAATAAAATTTTAAAAACCCACTACCATACATCAACAGAGGAGAAAAGCATATAGCACAAGATAGGCAAAGAACAATGTAGAAAGATAATGTCAGAGAAACTTTTCAGCAGCACGATGTGTTTATATCCAAAACGACCAGAAGAATGGGTGAGTGACGTTTAAACCCGCTAGGATCGCACAAAGAACTTTTAACACCTGGTGACACAAAGTGCAATCATTCAGATGAGAATCCCTCAAAACAAGTCTCACAAACCCCGTTGAACAGTCTTCTTCTTCTTCTTCTCTTCCACCTTGTACCTCATCGAAGTGTCGGGGGAGATGTAATGTTCGTTGATGAGCTCTGTCAAGAGCACTACTAAGACTGATATTCATTTCTGTAAGGCTGTTCTTAATGCCATCCCTCCATCTTTTCCGAGGTCTTCCACTCGCTTTATACCCGTTGTAACGTTTTAGTGTGGCTCACTGTGGCAGATAGTACCAGGGCATTCTTGTTAGGTGTCCAAACCATTTCATTTGTTGTTCTTTGATGACCTGTAAGACTGGCTTTATTCCTAGCATTCGTCTGATTTCATGATTTTGTATTCTGTCTTTCCTTGAAACACATGCAGCTCTTCTAAGGCATTTCATCTCTGTTGTCACAATTTTACGTTCATTGGAGGATGTAAGTGTCCACGTTTGGCACTGATAGCATAGTATTGGCCAAAAAATAGTTCTGATAAGATTCACTTTAGTACTCTGAGGTATCTGCTTGTGTGTCAACAGGGGAGATAGTTTACCCATTACTTGATTAGCTTTGGCACATCTGGAGCTAATTTCTCTGTCCAGTTTTCCGTCTGAAGTAAAAATTGCTCCCAAATACTTAAATTCCTCTGTTTGTCTCAGGGTGTTGTTTTTTAATTTAATTTCTAAATTGTCTTTATGTCTTCCTATCAGTAAGGTTATATTATAACCCCTGACGACGGTTACGAAGTAACCCCAAGTCCTGCTGGGGTGGGGCGATATTGTAAAACAAATTTTGTCCCATGTTAGGACAAGAACAAAATTAAGGCCAAAAGAGCAAGAAGCAGCAATATATGCGTATGTCTACTTGGATAACCGAAGTGATGCTAGAGGAAGTGAGGAAGAAGCAGAAACTGCGTAATACTGTTTCCATTTGCGAAGAGCGATTACTCGTTCATGTAGTTCATGTTGTTGGCATGGCGTTGTTGGCAGAACAGAAGAGGAAATCGAGATTCGGGTTGGATCCACGGAATACAAGTTGGAGTAATGGTAATGTGAACAAACTGTGCTTAATTAAAGTAGCATAATGTTAGTTATATATGTAAAATTTAGTTGCTGTTTGCCGTCTTTGTTAGTAATCATCATCCTCATCAGGTGCCTTGCCGACTGGCGTGGGCGATCATGCTCTCCGTATTCCGTAATCTAAGTACTTTAGTCAAATTTTCAAAATGCCCTCAACACCAATAAAACCAGCACAGTTAGATAGCTGTAAACAATCTCTTTCCAATAGTCCCTCATTTAGCTTTGTATGTCATTTCTGAGCTGAGATATGTAGGTTTTTGTGGAGATGAGATGTAAAAAACAGCTGCTAAAACTTGCGTCCCAGAAACAAGAAGTTTTCTCTGCGCAACTAAACTGCGCACTTTCGTTTTGGCTTTGTTTTCATTGGACAAAATGGCAGACAATTTTTCTCAGACACAGCCACATAATAGCGATTGCATGAAAAATGTCACTGTAAAACGAAACAGCCACAGATAAGAAAGAAATTTTATACACAAATGTAAAATTCAAAATTGGACGGAGAATTCAATTATAACTAGCATTACCATGTCTGGTAATGTTTAAGGCCTTAAAGCCAACTGTGAATACTTAGCGCTATTTTAATTTTCAATCAAACTGATGTAACAGAAAAACAGAGGACGTCCGGCTGTCATAGACATGCGCTGTTAATCGGGTTCGTTCCCGCCGTTTTCGGCTATTCAAAGCTGGTGAAAATCACACCAATCGCAAAATTTCATGAGAGATTAGGACCCATCCCAAAACCCCAGCCGACATTTTCCAAACAAGTTTCAAACGGTTTTCATGGTAACGGAAATTGCCAAAAAGACCGCAAATTGTTGAAACTGTAGTCGCTACGTAATCCACGATCTCCTGCAGCATGTATTATATCAGATCGTGTGCCGACACACCTCCATGCCATGCAACAAGACTGTCAAGAATCTTCTCTCGTTGTCTTCCTCTTTCCCTCCTTCCACAGATCTTTCCAGTTGTCACAACATGTTCTAATTTTCCTCTTCTCATAACATGGCTGAAAAATGATGACTGTCTCCTTCTGATGTGTGTGATTATTTGTGATAAGTTGTCTTCGGGCTCCCGCCTCTGTCGAAACCTTTTGGTTGCTCTTTTTTGGCTGCCCAAGGTATTCTAAGCATTCTTCTGTAAAACCACATCTCTGAGGCCTCAAGAAATTGTTTGGTCTGCCTACCAATTGTCCAGGGCTGTCCTCCGAATAACGGTCATAAATTATCGGAAAATATACCCAAACAGGGCCTCAGTCATGTGTCAATTGCGCACTTCCGGGGACTATAATGCCACCGCCGAATTGCGAACTTTCGGCAACCTCCGCCACCGCCGAGTGTCCCGCATGAGCGACGTGGGGGCTAAACTGGATGGGTAGGATTCATGAGCAAATAAAATGAAGGAAGCTGCAGGAGATGCGGTAGCTGCTGCAGGATATGCGGACACTCTCGGCGGTGGTGGAGTCTACCGAAAGTTCCTAATTCGGCGGCCGCGGAAGATGACAGAACTGCGCAATTGACATGTGACTGAGGCCCTGTTAGGGTATATTTTTCGCCCCGATAATTTACTACCGTTATTCGGAGGATGACCGTCCAGGATTCACAGCCATATGTTAAAACTGGATGTATGTAGCAAGCAAGAATTTTTTTTCTAACTCTCAATGATGTTCTTCATTTTGTAAAATGCAGTTTTTGCCTGTCCTATTCTGTTTCTTATCTCAGTTATACTTAAATTTCGGCTATTCTTCTAACTTTTACCCGATATTATGGCAGCCAAGCAAATAGCCTAACAGGGCCTCAGTAGTGTGTAAAATGTGGACTTTCTGCCAGGGAACAAATCGAAATCGCGGGAAAACTAGGATCTTCTCCAAATAACAAAACAAATGCTCTAAAGGAGTCTCAGCGATATGTTAATTGGGGACCTGTTTCTGCGACTATGCCGCACTGCTGACAGTATCACCCATGCCGCTACGCGAATGGGGTGCTAAACTAGATGGCTGGGACTCACAAGCAGCAGCTACCGCATTTCCTGCAACTTCCTCTTATTTATTTGCTCGTGAGTCCCAGGCATCTAGTTTAGATCTGCCCATAGCGGCGCTGGGAATACTGTAGGCGGTGAGTTTAACCGCGTTTTGCGCATGCCGAAACGAGTGAGGACAACAGCGACGCTAAGCTGCGTCGGAGCGCATGGCCTCCCCGCCATGTAGCTATTATTGTCTGTAATGTTGTGTGAATCGAAATTGTTAATGGTCGCTATTATCGTCTGCAGAAACGCTTGAAATACTATCTGCTTGGTACTATCGTCTGCAGTGTTGCGTCTCTTGAAATTATCTAGTAATCTTAGTTTACCGCGATTTGTTCCTTGGCTGAAAGTCCGCATTTTACACACAGCGGAGGCCCTGTTAAGCTATTTACTTGGCTGCCATAATATTGGGCAGAAGTTAGGAAGAGAGGCTAAATTTCTGTACTTGTTCTAAAATAACACCATTGACTTTTGGGCTATCCTCCAAATAACGGTCCTAAATTATAGAGGCGGAAAATATACCCTGACAGTGCCTCAGTCACTTGTCAATTGCGCACTTCCATCTTAAATTGCCCACTTCCGGCAACTTCTGCCACCACAGAGAGTATCCCCCACGCTGCTCTAGATGGCTGTGACTCACGAGCAGCAGCTATCACATCTCCTGCAGCTTCCTTTATTTTATTTGCTCATGAATCCTAGCCATCTAGTTTAGCCCCAATCCACGCTACATGAGCGGCGTGGGGGATACTCTCGGTGGTGGCGGAAGTTCACAATTCGGCTGTGGCGTTATAGTCGCCGGAAGTGTGCAATTGATACGTGACTGAAGCCCTGTTAATGTATATTTTCCGCCTCGATAATTTAGGACCGTTATTCGGAAGATAGCCGACTTTTGTTACACATTTAGGAATAATTCGTTTCTTTGATACCACCATTACTTCTGCCTTCCCATTATTCAAACTGAGGCCCATTATTCCACTTTCTAACACCACAATGTCTATTATTTCCTGTAGTCTTTCTGACTTGTTGCTATCAAGACTGTGTCATCAGCATAATGTCAATTGTTTATATTGTGCCCACCAACCACAATTTCGGGTATATCAATTAAATTGATTATCAATTAAAAAATTGTTAGTAGTATGAAAATTAAATGTAGTATGAAAATTAAATATCACATTGCGAATTGTCCTACACATAATACATAATGGCATGATGTTCTTACGCCTACACCACTGAACTGGAATTCTCAATAATAATAATAAATCGCTCTTCTGGCCTGTCACATGAGACATGATCATCATGTCATGATGAAGTGAAAGAAGACGTTTGGGTTTCAAACCGTGTTTGGTAAATAAATTAATGGATCATCGTGTCACAGCATCATGCCGGACTTGTGTTTAGTGTTACTGACTAAAGCTCTGCCACACAGACTCAAACCCAATGGAGATATCTGTGATCTCAGATAGTTAGTAGTTAGAGTTAGTTATATAGTATAGTACTTTAATCAAAACTTACACACTCACATTCACATAGGTGCTACTTCACTCAGGGCCCTTTAAGAGATCTGATATGATGATCTTCTAAGGCTAATCACAAATCAGTGCAGTGGTCAGTGGACTTAGTTAGATGTAAAGTTTAAGTTGAGTCAAGAACAATCATTACTCATTACATACACAATGATACACAGTCACAGCACTCAGGACATTCCCATGAACACTCCATTCCCATGAGCACTTCTGACTTCATTCCTGTCTTCAGCCACCAACCATAACGATTATTAACCATTCATTACCTATAATCATCCAACTAGCTAACTTTACAACCAGTAAACTAAGCAGCCATCCAACTATTTGTCCATCTAGTCGGTCTATAAATCATTATGCTAGCTAAACCAACCAACTAAACTGATTCCCATCTGCCAATAGTATCAGTTTGACAGTTATTTATTTCAGTAATGTTAATTATCATCACCATAGTCCCATAACACTGCCTATCATTGGGTCACCAGTTGCTGTTGACTGTCTGATCATCTCCCTCCACCTTTGATGGTCAGTTGCAATGAACTTCATATTAGTTACATGATGTTGGCCTGTCCAGCCAGTCAAGTTCTGCATATAGGTCTTTCTTGACCTGCCTGTTGCCCTCTGCTGAGCCCTGTTTTTGAGAAACCCTCAGATCTAATTACATGTCCCTACCATTTCATTTTCCATCTTTTCACTGTGGTTAACATTTTTTAGTAATGGAACACTAACATAATGCATGATTTTCAGGCCAATGGCCCATCTGGAATATGATGCTAAACTCATATTCTGTAAAGACTTTCACTGGTGTTGCACGCTGGGAAATAAACTAGATGTGTTGTTTCAGTCTGGTTACCAGTTCTTTATTAATATCCCACCCCATATGATGTCACAGTACAGTCCAATATTTTAGAGGGTGGTAAGACTGGGTTTCCAGGCTTTCTAATGCTTTTAACGACCCCAAAACATCTAGAACTAACCCTAACCCCAACCCACCTACATCCCACGAGAGAGTGCAGCCTAGGTCCCTTGAATGCATGCAGCCTATATACCACCCCCAGAAATATTAGGCTGTCCCGTGAACTGTGGATTGTCCCTGTTTGTGATAGCATGTTAATAAAGCACCTGGTTACCTTTTAATAAACTGTCCAACCTGAATTTTGTTTTTACAGACACCAGCAAATTTGGCCAGCGTTTGATGGAGAAAATGGGGTGGGAGAAAGGCAAAGGTTTGGGTGCTAATGAAAATGGAATCACAGAACATATCAGAGCTACTTACAAGTCTGATAGCAGAGGTAAGTATCTATCTTTAAAATTAATATTTCAGAAATGTATACCCTCATAGTCAGATGTCAGAGTCATATATCTTCTTTTTTGCATTCACTGGCTGTAAACTCCGGCGGAAAGTTCTGATTGTTCATCCATCTCTGGACCTTAGTCTTGTTCTAAACCTGAGTGTCACTGGCTGTAAACTCCGGTGGAAAGTTCTGGTTGTTCATCCATCTCTGGGCCTTAGTCTTGTTCTAAACCTGAGTGTTGCTTGCACGTGTTTTTACAGATCTGACTTATTAGAGCCCTGTATCTTTTTCTTTCTGGTGTTTGCGTATTGTAAACTGTGGTGAAAAGTTCTGGTTGTTTATCCACTTCTGGACTTAGGTCTTGTTCTAGGACTTAATTTTCACAATGTGCGTCCATTTTTCACCATTGTTAACTTATAAAGAGTTTATGCATATCACTAATCGATCTGTATTTAAGGAAATCTTACTGTAAGCAAGCTTAATCTATATTTATAGAAATAAAACTTACTATGTCTGATTGCCTTAACATTCAAATAATATAGTCCAACATTGTTAGAATTTTTAGTTTAATGCTAACACTTTGATATCCAAATGGCTTCCTGGTTCCATCAGTTGTAGCTTCATGCTGTGACAGTAATTTACAGACTGAATCATGTCCTCCTTTTTTTTAACTTCAGTGTTTCCCCAAAAGACAGTAATCAACCCTTTCTCCTGTATGGCTGGGACAGTAGATCTGCTTAAGTTTTTGCAACTGTCAGGACCTGTATAAGTTTACCATACATGCGAGTGAACAGTGCAGAGGCACAAATAGATCATTAGGGACTGAGGAGAATGGCGCTGTGGGGAGTTAGCAGGAGATCTGGCGACGCTCAAGGGAAAGGCGAGATGGATGTACAGTCAAGACAATTTCTGGTACCATTGGAATTGGAACTCTTTGCTTGCTGTTGTAAATATGGATTTAGCACTTATGAGAGTGTCCTGAGTACTGTGATGTCGATTCTTAATTCAGCATTCAACCATATTTGCCAGAAATATCCAGATTTCACCTTCTGGAGCACTGATCAAGAGTCGAGTTATGATGATTGTCTTATTGTATCGAATTTCAGAAACCTATTTTGTAGCTGCTTTGAGGCATTGAGTATCTCGATTTACATTCTCATGCATAAATGTCTTGTTTATGCTCCACTTTTCTCTTAAGTGGTTTTTGCCCCTCCATCTAATTGTGGATCCCCATCCTTATCTGTGACCTCTTGATCTCTAATTCGCCTGTTGGTGTCATCATCATTCAGCAAGTCCTTTACAGAACATTGCTCTCATTACAGTGAACTTGAAAGTCTCTTTCTATAGCAGTTCTCCTGACTTATGTGTGCTTTCATAGGCAATACATCTTCATGTCTTGTGTCCACCTTTGCAGAGGTCAGCCGGTGCCTCGTTTTCCAGAAAATCTACCCTCTGTCACCGTTCTCTTTAGGCCACCATGGCGTTTAACATGACAAAAACACCTCAGCTTTAGAGACAAGATTCTGTTTATGAGCTAGTTCTAATGGTGTACACAGTTAAATATTATTAACTCATTCAGTACCTGTAAGGTTACTTACAGCAGGATATAGTTTCCCAACTCCTTATTGTCCATCCTGCTTGTATGGGTTCAGGGAATTCACGGAAAAGGGTAGAGGGATATGGATCCACTCCACCCTTTAAAAGCTACACTTTTCTTGTAGTTCTTCAATACTGTAACTAATAGCTACACTTTTTTTTTTAGTTCTTTAGGCCTATAACTAATAGCTACACTTTTTCATGTAATTCTCCAGTACAGCTAATAGCTAATTTTTTTTTCTTGTAGTTCTTCAGTACTACAATTAATAGCTACATTTTTTTCTTGTAGTTCTTCAGTACTACAACTAATAGCTACATTTTTTTTCCTTGTAGCTCTTCAGTACTACAACCAATAGCTATATTTTTTCCTTGTAGTTCTTCAGTACTCTAACTAATAGCTGCACATTTTCTTGTATTTCTGTAATACATCTAATAGCTACTCTTTTTTCTGTTAGTTCTTCAGTACCATAATGATAGCTACACTTTATTTTCTTCTGTCAGGTCTAGGCTGTACACCCCAGGATGCTGATGCCTGGATTGCCCACCAAGATGATTTCAATGATCTGCTAAAAGCCTTAAACTCACAAAGTGAAGCAGGCAGTCAAGAGGAGAAGGTAGAAAGGACAGAGCATGTAGATGGTCGTAAGCGATAGTGAGTCACTTTTCACATTACAAGCTACAACACTTAGAGCTATATATGAAAATGTGAAATATGTTGTTAGAAAGAACAAAATTATCAAACACATTTGTGAATGGGTAGACCTCCCTTTGTGGGTTTGTGGACCTGATTTTGGAAGAAAAATTAAAGGAATAGAGCCACCGCCTCGCAGTTAGCATGTTTTAAAAGATGACTAATGAAAGCTTTGCTCAAGTCGGATGAGTTGGGCTGAAAGGTGCTTAGAGCATGAGAAATAAATCACAACACAGCATGCTAGCTGTTCTTTTCTGCTCTTTTAAGGGCGTAGAGTGAAAAATGGACATTATGATAAAATATGTTGCATTACTTTGACATGAATAAGAAAGAGTTAGTTTATTTAAAGAAGAAAAAAATCTGGCAGGCTGTATGTGGCCATCATCTGGTAAACATCACCCATTTACCTTGTTAAGCACCATGGGGGAGGAATAGTTTGCAATCCATTGTTCAATTTGTCGTTTTGTGTCGATGTAAAAGGTTTTTAATGTCATCAGTCATCATCTTCTTGTGCGCCTTTTGCTTTCATGTCAGATCTTGTTAGGTGTTTTGCCTTTGTTGATAGTTTTGACTGCAGTCTACTGAGGAGACAGAACCATTTGATCTTCTCCTTTTCAGTGAATTTGGTGCAGTGTGTTGTTCCCACAGTTTCTCTGATAGTATTGTTCTCTCTCTCTCTCTCTCTCTCTCTCTCTCTCTCTCTCTCTCTCTCTCTCTCTCTCTCTCTCTCTCTCTCTCTCTCTCTCTCTCTCTCTCTCTCTCTCTCTCTCTCTCTCTTGGATTGGTAATTTAACGACTTTCTTCAGTTTGTTTTTTTAACATGCCCATTTTGATGTTTATCAACAGAACCTAGCGCTCACATTTAATTAATTTTATGAAACAGTTTTTTTCCGTCCCTTTCTCAGCCACGGTAGATTTGCTCGAGGTCAAGTACAGACGCTGAGAAGCACAGAAGATTTGGACTGCATATTTGGCAAGAGAAAAGGAAAATCTAAAACAGCAGAACCAGATGAACAACCAGCGGTAAGTGTTAGCTGAAGTGGTTAGTCAGCCAGTGAGTACTGGGTATTGAGTAGATGTATGAGCAGCTTGGGATAGACGGTTCACCTGCACATGAAAAAGTTTGTAGGTTAAGGTCCTGAGCCAGGCTTTTTTTTCCTCAAATGACCTTGGGTACCAGGTAAAGTCCTGGGAAGTAAAGGCTGCCGGCATGATGCTGACCACATTACCCACCAATTGCCAGTTGGTCTGTAAAAGTATTGTTCTGGCCCTATGTGCCCAGTATGTCTTAAGGTGTTAAGTATGAGCAGCTTTCAGGATGAGGGTAAGGATATCAGCATAAAATATCTGGATAACACTAATGATATCAGCATCAAATATATGGATAAGACTAATGATATCATCAAATATATGGATAAGACTAATGATATCATCATCGTATATCTGGATAACACTAATGATATCATCATTGTATATCTGGATAACACTAATGATATCAGCATCGTATATCTGGACAACACTAATAATATCAGCATCCTGTATCAGAACAAACAGAATTCAGTGTGAATTTAAAATGATTTGATAGGAGATAACTTTTTAATGATTTTTACCCCAATGACCTGATGCTTTCTCAGTTTTAAAAAACAACATTTCACTGCATAGACCACATGCAAAGTTATTTTTAAATACATATTTTTTAAATCACAGTAAACCAGATGCTCGCACACATTTTGTGTGCAAATATATTTTTTTAATCATACCATTGACAACCAGTTATTAATGGATGCCAATGACCAGTAACTCACAGCAAGCGGGAAGCGAAGCAGAGGCAGACCGTGCAAACGAGGGACAGAAGAAATAACAATCCCTGTGAATCCACAAAGCACACGAGCGAGCACTTTCTCGTAAATTATATTTCACCTCGACATCGCAAGGTACAAGTTGATCAAGAAGAGATTAATAAACCTGGCAGCCTTGGTAGCATAGTGGCTAGACACTCGCCTGTCATCCTGAAAGTCTTGGAGCAAATCCACATTTAGTTGAATTCTTTCCCTTCTAAATTGACTTTGGTTCCACATTGAGTCAGATTGTTTCCCTTCTAAATTAACTGGTTCCACATTGAGTCAGATTGTTTCCCTTCTAAATTGACTTTGGTTCCACATTGAGTCAGATTGTTTCCCTTCTAAATTGGCTTTGGTTCCACATTGAGTCAGATTGTTTCCCTTCTAAATTGACTTTGGTTTCTCAGGTTGATCCAGCCTAAAATATGTACCAGATAATTTCATGGGAAGTAAAGGTGGCTGGCATGGTGTTGATCACATCACCCACCCAGGCTGATTGGTCTACAGCAGGGCTATTAGACTGGCGGCCCGTTGAGGCCTAGCAGGTGGCCCACGGATCATTGCCATTTATATTGTATTAATGATTTGTCTACCTCTGCCTGTAACAGTCCTCGTTTTCACAATTTTGGCTCCTGAATAAACTTAGTTAAATAGCCCTGGTCAACAAGAATGAGTCTAGCGATGCAAACACTTTGAGTTGGGAGGTGATAGGAAGAGAAAGATCCAGATGATCATCTTCTAGGCTGCATCATTTCACTGGCATCACAGAAAATACAACTTTTAGTTCTAAACTTGAAAAAAAAAAACATGCGCCACTCACACTTTCATTATTGTATGTTTTTCTCTCACTAATATCACCTCATCCTTTGATAATTTTGTCATTTCTGTATCTCTGATCACTAGCCTGAGCCAGATTGTGGTGATGGTAAAGAGGAGAAGAGCCATGGTCTAACAACAGTGACCAGCACAAGCAGCGTGCAGGAGTACTTTGCCAAGAAGATGGCAGAAATGAAAGCCAGGAAAGAGGTCAACGCCAGAGAGGATGACAGCAGTGAGACTTCTCCAAGGGGAAAGGATGGTGTTAATTGTGAAAAGAAGAAGAAGCAGAAGTCATCGATGTTTGGCAGTGTCAGTTTCAGTTATGATGAAGTGAAAGAAGTTTCAGGTTCGGCCGGTGTTGAGAGAGCAGCTGGCAAGCCTTGTAGAGGATGGTACAAAGATTTTTTAGAGAATCAATCTGGTAATGTTGAAAACATAGAAGTTAAGGACAAGTCTTCGAAGAAAAAGAAAACAAAAAGTGATATTGAAGATAATGACTTTGAAGAAAAGGTTAAAATGTCACACAGTAAAAAACAGAAGAAAAAGAACAGGGATAAGGTGCTAGACGATTCTCTTGCAGTTGTAAATTCCTGTTCAGTTTTAGAATCACACAAATTACCTTCAGTGGCTGAGGTTGCAGAAAATAAGCAGTCTAAGAAAAAGAAGAAGAATAAAGACAGTGAAGCTGTATCAGTGTATACAGGTGTCAGTACAGAAAATATTAATGTGGAAAAAGAAGATGTAAAGAAACAGAAGGAAAAAAGAAAAGCGTCTACAAAAGATGAGGGTAAAGACAAAAAACAGTCTAAGAAAAAAAATAAAGAGAATGAAGCAGTACCAGCTGCATCCGTATGTGAAGGTGTCAATACAGTAAATATAAGTGAGGAACATGAAGATAAAAAGAAACAGAAGAAGAACAGAAAAGCGTCTAATAAGGATGAGATTGAAGTTATTAGTTTGAACAAGTGTGCTTTAGATTCTGATGAAGTTGATGTGAATGAGACAGCCATTGATGCAATCAGCTTGAAACATTCATCAAAAAGATTGGTCACTCACAACAATGACGACAATAAGCAAGAGAAGGAAATCTCAGGCTCTACTGGACATAAGAAAAAGAATAAGAAGAGAAAGCAGTCTGAAATAATTGATGAAGAAAGTAAGCCTGTAGAGAATAAGTGTGATAATAATGATGAGGTTGCAGTCGAGTCCAAGAAGAAAAAGAAGAAGAGAAAGCATTCTGAAATAAATGATGAAGTAAGCAAACCTGTAGAAAGCGAGTGTGATAAAAATGATGATGCCACAGTTGAGCCCAAAAAGAAAAAGAAGAGAAGGAAGGGTAATGATAATGATGCCCAAGACACTGAAGATCCTGCAGCAGCTGAGCACAAAAGTAACATTTCCAGTGGAAACCAGAACATCATTGATGTATCGCAGTCTTCAGAACAGAAACAGAAGAAAAAGAGGAAAAGGAAGAAGAAATCAAAACCTCTGCAGGATCAAAGTGTTAAAAGTAATGCTTTTTTCCCTGGCTCCAACCTTGCAGACATTGTGGGCTATGGTCATAAATCAAGAGAAACTAAGAAATGTTCAAAGGAAGACAGCAAAAGTTCCAAGCAGAAAGTATGATGAAATCCTGAATTAGTAAGGAAACAATCCTTAATAAATATACAACTTTGTGCCAGATTTTTCACTGTTGTAAAAAGGTTCCGTTAGTTACTTACCCTAATAAATAACATTTATATATTGTGCTCAGTGAAGCTTCATGCTAAAATAAATCGGGGGGAGGGCGGTGTTTTCCATGCCTTAAGGGGTGTTGGGTGTATAGTGCCAACCCCAGATTTGTATAGAGGAGTTGCCATCTTATGCCTGATAATGGTCAGTGTCATACTTCTTATTTTGTCCTACTGCCTTTGCCATAAAGCAGCACAGAGAGGAGTTTGGAATAGTTTACTGTCTTTTGCTAGGCAAGTTGCATAGCTTGTTTTAATGTCATACTGCTTATCTATTGTGTCTCTATTATCCCCCCCCCCCCCCATCTCTTTCTTGGTTGGCGATTGACTTGTAGCTTGCTGTTCTCATGTAGTACATTTTGGTCCTTCTGGTCAGATGATCAAACCATTTATTTGGTGTTATTTAAAAAAATCATCAACATGTGCAGTGCCCATCTTTGTTCTTAGTTCTTTGTCTCTTCTTGTCCTCCCCCCCCCCTCCCCCTGCATTTCTTATACATCTTATCTCATGTTTGGCATTGATAGGTCAAAATTGTTATGGACAGTACATTTACCAGCCGCCCTTTTGTGTGTTCATGTTGATAAGTTTAGGCCTCAAAAGTGTGGTGCTATCAGTATCAAGCATGTCTTTACTTCCCAGAATGTTTCTTAATACTATTTTAGCCTCGTTTGACATAGTAACCCAGGTTAGTTGAAGTATTTAATCCCTGGTTCTATTGGTATTTGAGTACTTCATTGTTGAGTTTAACAGATACATGGTGGCTTTACTAACTGTGACTCCCATTTGGTTTTACACACAAGTATAAATTATTAATTACCCAGTGAATTTCCAGGTTTCACCGAAGTCCTACTAAGGATGATTTGTGTGGTACATTTACAAATTATGCCTGGAATTAAACAATACGATAAAATAGCACTGAATGCTGTAAAAAATGTGTTGATCTTTTTGTTTACATGGAATAAGCAGTGTTGTCAAATGCTAAATCATCAGTGTGTAATTTTATTTGTCCATCTGATGCTCAGTTCTCAAGGGAAAGACAAGAGGGATATACAATCTGAATTTCACTGGTACCATCTCAGTTGGAACTGCACTAGCCACTGGAGATGGAGCAATTTGGGAATTTCCCAAGTACTGCAGTGTCAATTCTTTATTCAACATTATTAGTAGTATGAGACAGGTGAAATGGTGTGCTTAGCCTCCTGTCTTAACTCATTGAGTCCCAACAAAAGCATCATACTTTCATAGTTTACTGTCTAGAAGCCAAATGAACGCACGATGCGCCGATTTTACGTCGATTTTGGCTACCCCTTGGGCTTGTGATGCTAAACCCTCTGGGACTCAAAGAGTTAATCCTGTTTCTTGCTGTATATGGGCGGTCTCTGTGGCCAGGTTGTTTGAAAGTTAAAGGTCATAGGTTCATCTCACGATTACATTGCTTGGTTCACAAGGGCAGTTATTATGGAGACTCTTAGGGATCACTGCCAGAGCTGTGGTATTCAGGTTTTGTATGGTACACTTGGCAGACAGCTAGCTTTCTGCAGAAACTGAGCCATATGGGATAAAAAAAACCATGATACTCAGCTTAAAACCTTATTGTATGTGTGTCAAAGTAAAGTATAAATAACAGGAAGAATGCCTGTTTATGTATTTCTTGTGTGTATGTCCCATAGACTCTCTCTATCGACTGTCAACATTTTCGTCTCTCTTGATCTCTAAGTAAAAATAAAGGACCATTTTCTCTGCCCATTGGTAAATATTGCTAGACCTTATTTTAAAGACCAACTGGCATTCGGTGGGTGAAGTAGTCAACATCACACCAGTCCCCTTTACTTCCTAGGACTTTACCTGGTACCCATTTAAGGCTGGGCCAACTCGGGAGCTAAGTTCTTTAAAAAAAAAAGCCTGGATCTGTTTAGAATTGAACTCACATCTTTAAAATCCACAGGCAATGGTCTAGCATCTACACCGCAACAGCTCCTGATATAACCTTGGTCAATACATTATTGTTGATGATTGGAGTATATAGTGTGTTAGCTGCTTGGTTATCACTATCATCAATTTCCTGTTTGTCATTTAAGTGTGGGAAAGATCACTTTGTTGTCCTTTTTTTTAATAGGTAGCAGAAGCTATTGTCGTTCTGTGTGGATGTTGAAAAGTACCCTATTTTTATGCCTTTAGGCATATTGGACATTTTAATGATAGAAGTGTGTTTTATAGACCAGTTGGTGATGTTGGCAACATCAGCCCGTTGCCTTTATTTCCCAGGACTTTGCCTGGTATCCATTTAAAACTGGGTTAACCTGGGAAGAAAAAAATGTCTGGCTTTATTCAGATTTGAATCCACAACCTTCAGATCCGTAGGTGAGCATCTAGTTACTGGCTTCTCCCTCTGTGTGGATGTAGAATGTATTCAATGTCACCTGTCCATCTTCTCCTTGGCAGTTCTCTTGATTTCACATACAATGTTTTAAGATGTAGCTCCTGTGTTGGTATTTGTGACCGCATTCTAACGGGATGACCAAATTTGATATTTCGCTCAGTGAATTTGTTGTGTGGTGTTGTTCTCATAGTCCATCTGATGACGACCGGCTCCAGCTGACGGGCTGTGCTGCTGCTGTCACTGGGTCAGGCTAACGCAGCGGTTCTCAAACTGGGTGCTGTGAGCGTATACCAGGGGTGCCGCGGCAGTAATCAAGAAAAGTCGGCTAAAAATTGTAGAATTTTTAAAGAAGGCATGTAGATACTTGAAAGTTAAAATGTAAGTTGTCTTCCCTCACCACTATCGAAAATAGTTTATTTCTTGTTTGAGAACCGCTGCCTTAACACATCGTTAGTCCGACGGGTGATGTCAGTGGCACGGCCTGTCAGCTGGAGCCGGTCGTGATCTGATAGTATCAGCTAGTTATGTATTAACTTTATTTTCTGTCATTATTTAGAAGCCTTAATTGTTAGTCAATCAAAAGATGATCCTCACTGCACATGGGATAAGCCCATAAGTGCTCAGATCCCATCTTCAGTTTATTCCTAAGCATGTGGCAACAGATAACACCAGTTCAGTGCTGATTTACTATTCTTTGTGGTGAAAGAACTAGGATTGCGCGGTAATGAACGGAAACGAACACTTAAAAAACTGGGAGAGGCAGCCGAAAGGGCCTCTAGCTGGCTTTGGACGCAGCGCAACAACGTAGGGGACGGGCCTCGGTGAGCTGGTCCGGGTGTCTAGTGGAAAGGAGTTTCTCATCCCTTTGAAAGTCCATCGTGTACGAATTGTCTGCCAGTGTCCCTCTGCCAACTGCTAATAAAAGTCCAACATGTGTCCGGTAAACCAAAGTAAGCTTGTCGCTCGGTCGTCCAGGCATGCGGACTGTTTTAATTACGCTGTCGCGGCGGCTTCTTATCTCACAGTACCTCCTTCGAAACCACTAAGTCGTCTTGTCTCTGGCCGAAATAATAACACCATCCGGTAATTCTGTGCAGCGGGGAAGCAGCCCTGAGCTTCATGAACTCAGGTGGGCCCACCTCCGAATACGTTTAGGAATCGTGGGCCGAAACGTGTGTCGACAAGGATAATTTCTACTGATGACTGTAGATCCCCGCTGTACTTGCTCCCTGTGAGTTTATTCTTATTGTACGTGGCTAGCCCACAAGACTACCAGGAAAGACTGGTGACTATCGGGAAAGTCCTTTTGACACCTATGGAAAGACTGGCCCCCCGGTATCGCCGGGGGGATAAACTGACATCTGGAGACAGATGTCGACTGTGGACCGGGTTGATCACCCCTAAAACAGTATAATACCTCCTATTTCGTACGACCACAATGAAATATGCCCCCAGGGCCCTCCGAAAGGGGGGAGAATGAAGGGCCCAATCTGATTGATACCCTCGGTGACGACTTTGCTAGCCCCCGGACTGAGTTACTCGCCCAACGTCCGGGCTGGCTCTGTACATGTGGGAAAAGCTTCACGGGGTTGCATGGTCTGAGAACGCATGCCGGAAGAATGAAATGCGAGGGTGCTCCACGCAGTAAACGCCGTCGCAAAACTACCACTCCTGTGGTAGTTTCTGAGTCGTCAGGGTACGACGGGCAGGGTGAACCCCACTCGCCCGGAGAGGCCCATGACGTCGACTGCGGAGGAGCACCTTTGATGATTTCTGAAGAAGTGCGTTCCAGAATCAGGTTTCCACCTGCGAGCGAGAAGGTGGTGTGGTGTAAGTTGGAGGCTACATTATGTGAGATACTTAAACAAACTCTAAACAAGAAGTCGCTAGGCGACAAGCTTACTAAATTTGGTGATGTAATATATGAACACTGCTCCCGCGAGTTCGGGACAGTAGTAAAGGCACAGCCGGGTGCCAAGCAGAATACTAGCAGGAGGCAGAGGGACATTCTGAAGTGTCGGGCAGACAAGAATGCCCTCAGAAAACGGTTCAAAGCCGCTACAGGCAGCGAACGGGAGGGGCTGTACGAAGTTTGGTTGCATTTAAAGAACAAACACAGTGCCCTCTGTCGTGCCGAGCGTTTCTGTAACAACAGACGGAGAACCAAAAGGGAGCGAGAGAAATTCTTTAGGGACCCGTATCAGTTCGCCCGAGGTCTATTCGAGCAACCGAAGTCTGGGACTCTGGTTGTCAGTCAGGAAGAACTTGAGCTACATCTACGCAAGATGTACTCTGATAAAAAGAGGAGAGAGCCTCTCGATGACAATCCAGAGATCCTTAGCGGTCTTAAACAGCCTTCGGTGCCGAAGGTACCATTTAAAATGGTACCTCCCCTTTGGTCTGAGGTTGAGGACGTTGTGAAAAAGGCCAGCGGCAAGTCTGCCCCAGGTCCGAACGGTGTTCCGTACGTTTTTTACAAGCGTTGCCCGAAAATCCTAAAAATGCTTCACGTCTT